GTGCTTAATTTGCCTCACTCATTGACCAGAATTTGGTCAGAAACTTTTGTGCACACAGGACTACCAACCTTTCAGCTGTCTAGAAACATAGACCTCCAAAGCGTGTTAGAAGGGAACATTTGAAGTTTCCTGGACTTAGAAGGCCAGCTAAACTTGGAGTTCAGAGGAAAAGGAGAGAATTCAGAAGAGGAAAAAAAAACTATAAATAAAGAAAAGCAATCCTATTGACCCCAAAAGTCATGACCCAAGAACAATATCTTTTTTCTTTTAGAATTTTTTTTAAAAGAATTATTTTGGGTCCAGCAGTTAGCATAATGGCTATGTCGCTGGACTCCCATGTAGTCGACTGTGGTTAGAATCCCAGACCCAATGGCTTAAACGCACACCAGGCGCATGTGTATGGATGCCCAAGATTCTGAGAGGAAAATGGAGGAGAAGAGATTGCAGCGTGGCCATCCCCCCGGGGGGGCGATTTCTCGCTTTCTGATTCTCTGTCTCTGTCTTTCTGGCAAGCGCACGCACCCTATAGCAAAACCCTCTCCCCCTCCCCTAAAAAAAGAATTATTTTAACTTTTTTTTAAATTAAAATTTGATCAGAGAAGGACAGTGTGAGCAAGAGAGAGAGAGAGAAAGCAAGCCAGGACTTGAACTGCAGTCAGCCATGTGGGAGTCCAGCATCCTAAACCACCACGCTACCTGCTAGCCCCAAACAATGTCTTTTTAATTTGCCCCCCAAATGAAAAATGATTTGCTAGGAGACCCAATAGCCTTTTCCTGATGGCAACAGGTAAGGAAAAATTTCTTTGAAGTTCCTCCAAACATACCTATTGATGCAATGTTGATCTAATTTTTTTTTTTTTTGGGTGGTAAGATTGTTTTGGTCCTGATCATTGTTCTGAAGAAGGAATGAAGATTGTCTACAAAAGTATTTCAAGACTTCCTTTCATCTTCTTTGCAGAAGCAGTCAATTGAATCAGGGCATTTGCTTGCACTGTAATAATTTATTTAAAGAACTCCTGCTGTTTTCAAACAAGTAACTCGTTCTCCTTGTAAGTTGGGAAAGGGGTAGAGACTGTGATGCAGGAACAGAGGGTGCAGGGGTGACTGGACTCAGCACTCTCAGTGAGACCAGGGTTCTTGTCCCATGCTCAGAATTAGTCATGGCAACAGAGAGCAGGTATGGCAAAGTGGGGAGTTTACTGAGAGGGATGGGAGAATAGAGCTCCCAAGAAGGGAAGGGTCTCAGAAAATGGGTTGCAGAAGAGGAATTGGGGCGAGGGGGGTTATTTGGGTACCAGGGGCCTATCAGGTTTGTTTTAGGTGGGAGGTGGGGCTCACCCATGCATTCTCCTCAAGGTGGGGAGGGGCACATGCTGAATGGGTCCAATTATTAATTTTGGAGTGACCTTGGGGTCAGGAGATTCTTTGTCTAGAAGAGTTGGGCTATAAGAACCACTATTTCATCCTCTTCGTGGAATGTGGTAGGGCCTAGGAAAATCCTTTGTTTTAGGCCTAGGTCATGCTGCCTAGGTCAGTCACTGAGCCTCAGCTGCAAGAGGTCTCTCGAATAGCAAACAGCAGAGCTGCTTTGCCTCCACCTCAAAACTTAGCCACTTAATGATTCCATTTTGGGCCCATACCCTATCTGTATTTTTACGATCCCTGTCTCCTACCTCAATTGTACTGATATTCCCAAGTATCATTTGAGCCAGACTGTTGCTGTGGTTAGTTTGTCTTCTGAAGACTGGTAAATCCTAACCCATTAACTGAGTATAACTGGGTTACCGTTCATGAGACATTAATTTTTAGACAAGAACAAGGAGCTGCAGTCCATGGAGTTGTATTTTTGTCTGTCTTTTTTAGTGGTTTTGGCTTTAGGACATGTGCACATGCTAGAGAGAGACACAGAGACAATGAGAGGGAAAATGGGAAATCACACTCCCTCTCCAGAGGAGATGGCCATGCCATAATCCCTTTTCTTCCATTCCTCCCAGGATCTTGGGCACACACACACATGATTTAAATTTCAAGCCACTGGGTATGGGACTCGAACTGCTGTTGGCCATGTGAGAGTCCAGTGAAGTACCACTTATGCCCCCTACTGGCCCTGATGTGGTAGTATTTTAACCTTGGTTTAGACCTCTGACTTTTATCAATTTTTAAAATTATTTTATTTAACTTTATTCATTTATTCATTTTTATTTATTTTAATTTGACCAGAGAGGGACAGAGAGAGAGAGAGAGAGCTGCCAGGTTCGGAACTTGAAACATGGTCGGCCATGTGGGAGTCCAGCACCCTTAACCACCATACCACCTGCTGGCCCCATGACTTTTGTCAATTATAAGTGAGATTCTATACAGAAAAAAGATTTCTTTTTTTTGGAGGGATTTTTTTGCTACAGGGTGCGTGCGCTCGCCAGACAGACAGAGACAGGGAGACAGAAAACAAGAAATCAGCCCCCAGGGAGGATGGCCATGCCGCAATCCCTTCTCCTCCATTCTCCTCTTGGGACCTTGGGCACGCACGCACACGCGCCCGGCATGAGTTTAAGCCACTGGGTCTGGGAGTCAAACCGTGGTCGACTACGTGGAAGTCCAGTGACATAGCCATTACGCTAACTGCTGGTCCCTATACAGAAAATTTTGAATGTGGTTTCTTGAAAATTTTTAAAAATATTATTTTATTTAACTTTATTTATTCATTCATTTATTTATTTCAGTTTGACCAGAGAAAGTTAGAGTAAGAGAGAGAGAGAGAGAGAGAAAGAGAGAAAGCAAGCTGCTTTCTTAAGTTGCACCCTTAACCACCAAGCCACCTGCCGGCCCCAGTTTCTTGAAATTTTTAAATCAGAAAAAAATTTTAAAGGTTTTTGGCATAGGGCACATGTTCTTGCTGGAGAGAGAGGGAAAGTGAAAAATCATTCATTAGAGGAGATGGCCACACCACAATTCCTTCTCTTCCATTTTTTTCTTGGGATTTTTGAGAAGCACGCACGCACACCTGCTGCCAGATCTGGGGCTCAAACTGAGGTCGGCCACATGGGAGTCCAGCACCATTTAACCACCATGCCACCTTGCTGGCCCCGTTTGCTCTTTCAATCTTCTCTGATCCAGAGACTTTGAAAAAGAAAGTAATTTTTTTCTGGAAATGGATTAGAACTAAAAATTGAATTTCCAAAGATATAGATGGGGAAATGGAGATGGTCTGGCCAGAATTAAAAGATCATGGAAATAGTGACAACTGAGTGTCTTGGGGACAGCAGGTGGCATGGTGGTTAGGGGCACTGGACTCCCACGTGGCCAACTGTGGTTTGAGTCCCAGACCTGGTGAATTACTTTCTCATTCTCTCTCTCTGTCCCAGTCTGGTTAAATTAAAAAAAAAAAGTTAAATAAGATTATTCTTTAAAAAATAAGAGTATAAACTGGAGAATAATTAAAACTACCACTCTACCAAGGCAGAGTAGAAGTCTGCTTAATGTTTGACAAGAGACTAATTCTACCATGTTTTTCTTTCTTTCAGGTTTATTTATTTTTCTTTTTTTTAAGGTTTTTGCTAGAGGGTGCATGTGCTCGCCAGAAAGACAGAGAGAGACATAGAGACAGAAAGCGAGAAATCACCCCCCGGGGGGATGGCCACGTCGCAATCCCTTCTCCTCCATTCTCCTCTCAGGATCTTGGGCACGCACGCACACGTGCCCGACCTGAGTTTAAGACACTGGGTCCGAAACTTGAACTGAGGTCGACTACGTGGGAGTCCAGCAACATAGCCATTATGCCAACTGCTGGTCCCAGCCTTTTTAAATTTCAATTTTATTTATGATTATTTCTTCAAATGTGCTCACCAGAGAGAGAGAGAAAGTGAGAAAGCAAGTCATCAGGCCCAAGACTCTGTGGTTAGCTATGTGGTAAGTCTGGCACCTCAATCACTATGCCACAAGATCCTTAGGTGGCTTTACCTATTACCAAATGGGATGCCCCAAGGCTGAAGCAGCAAATACTATCTTTTTTATTTTCAATTGAGAGAGAGAGAGAGAGAGAGAGAGAGAGAGAGAAAGTATCCCCTAATCCTCCATCCTCTCAGGATTTTGGACACACCAGTATGTTTTTCAAGTTACTGGAGCTGGGACTCAAACAGCTGTTGGTCATATAGGACCTGGATTTTTTAACCATTAGGCTACAGGGTCGGCCCTGGGCTATCTATGTAAAGGTCATGGTATTAGAAAGTTGTGGCTTTTAGGTAGAGGTTGGTAAACCCATGGCCAAATAGGAAATACCGCTTATTATGTAAATATTGGGTCATTGGAAAAGTCATGCCGTATTTTTCTATGAAAAGATGCATCATGACATTTCCAAGGACCCAACAGTTTGGAAAACCTCCCTGTCCATTGGACTTCATATTGTCTGTGGCTATTTTTGTGCTACAATGGCAGAACTGAGTAGTTTTCATGGAGGTCATATAGCTTACAAAGCCCACGAGATTTCTTATCTGCACCTTTACACAAAGTTTTTGGACCCATTCTTGTAGGGCGACAAGTCAGTCTGATCCCCATCTCCTCATCTGGCTAGTGGGGAGCATGTTGTCTTAACTATCAGATGAAGAACTGATCAGGCTGTTTCCTCTGGCAGGACAAACTTGGCCATCTATTAATACGTGAGCTGTAGTTTTGCTGTTGTTGTCAGAGAGAAAGAGAGGGAGAATAAGAAAGTACCCCCAGGGGGAACAGCCACACCACAATCCCTTCTCTTTCATTTCTCCTGCTGGGATTTTGGGCACATATGCTCAGTGTGCTTTTCAAGTTGCCAGGTCTGGGACTCAAACCACGCCGTGGGCCACGAGGAATCCAGCTGCCTTAACTTCCATGCCACCAGTTGGCCCCAGTCACAGGTTTAATTAAGATGACATAAATGGTGTAAAGTGTATCTACTCTCAATCAGCAGAAACCAGAAAATAAATATATAAGAACTTTATTTCTTAAAGTTTAAATTAGCAATAATTAGAGGGGAATCTTCTTTAACTTGATCTTTTCTTCTATATTTGAAAAGTATCTCATCTTTGTTAAAATCTCCTTGGCTTTTTTGAAGTCATCTGAAATAAACAGACACTGACGTTCAGGGTTCATTTCAAGCAACTCTGGTGACAAATTCTGCCAGGTCATCAACACTGAGCTCCGTGCTCTGGAGGGCTCATCCATTACTCAGCAGAGGGGAAGGAGAACATCTGGATTGTTAAGGGGACAAAGGGTTTAACCAAAAAGGCACAAGAACATGCTTGTTTACAGGATTCAGATAAATTAGAGAAGCAGGTTATCTTCAGGACAGTCACCAGTGATAAATGGGTTTGTTAAGTTTCCCCCAACACACATGGTGAGATGACCCTGAAGAGGATGTGAAAGTACCCGGTGCTTCCACTGAGCCAGGTGCTGGGGCACAGAGCTGCCCCCAGGGGGTTCTAGCCTCTGAGAATGGGGCCCTTAGGTCAGTGGTTTTCAAGTTGAAGTGATTTTTGCTCCCAGGGGGACAGCCTCTTTCCACAACAAAGAATTTTTTTTTTTGAGAGGTTTTTGCTATAGGGCATGTGCACTCGCCAGAAAGAGACACAGAGAGACAGAAAGCAAGAAATCACCCCCCCAGGGGGGATGGCCACGCCACAGTCCCTTCTCCTCTTGGGATCTTGGACACGCATGCACACGCACCCGGTGTGAGTTTAAGCCACCGGGTCTGGGACTCAAACCATGGTCGACTACATGGTAGTCCAGCGACATAGCCATTATGCTAACTGCTGGTCCCCAACAAAGAACTATTGATATCTGGCTCAAAAGGTCAGTAGTAAAAAAAAAAAAAAAAAAGGTCAGTAGTCAGTAGCTCCAACCAAAGTTTAGAAACCCTGACTCAGACAAATATAACAATGCAATGGCTGCTAAAATGATGATACCTTATAGCCACCACATCGAATCTAAAATAGTAAGCAAAAAAATAAGTCAGAAAAACACTTAAGGGAACCAGAAGGTGCTGTGGGTAAAGATGGCTGGATCCCACATGGTCAACTACACGGTTTGATTCCCAGACTCGGTAGCTTGAAAAATATGCCAAGTACACATGTATGAGTGCCCAAAATTCAAAGAGGAGAATGGAGGAAGAGGGACCACAGTGTGGCCAATCCCTTTTGGAGGGATTTTTCACTTTTCCTCTCTAACGCTGTCTGTTTCCCTCTGGTAAGTGCATGTGTGCTAAGGCCAAAAAAATAAAAGGAAAGAAAAAAAAAAAAAGCAAGCTAGTGAATAACACAAAATGCAGGAGCATGTTGGGGAGGGAGATGTTACCAGGATGTGGTGTGCTGGACTCCCACATGGCTGACAGTGGTTTCAATCTTCACTTTCTCTCTCTCACTCTGTCTCTCTCTAGAGAGCATGCTACCCTACAGCACATTTTAAAAAATGCAATAATAATAATAAATAAAAATAAATAAATAATTTTTGAAGAGATTTTTGCTATAGTATATGTGCACTCTCCAGAGACAGAAAGCGAGGAATCACTCTGCAGAGGGGATGGCCATAGCACAATCCCTTCTCCTCCATTCTCCTCTTAGGATTTTGGGCATGCACACATACCTGGTGTGAGTTTTAAGACACCAGGTCCAGGACTTGAACCAATGTCTACTACATGGGTGTGCAATGATTTAAATAATTTTAAAAATGTTTATTTTATTTTATTATTATTATTATTTTTTTGGGGGAGAGATTTTTGCTACAGAGTGTGAATGCTTGCCAGAGAAACAGAGAGAAAATCACCTGGCATGATTTTCAAGTTGCTGGATCTGAGACTTGAACTGTGGTTGGCCATGTGGGAGTCCAGCGACATAACCATTATGCCATCAGCTGGTCCCTAAAAATGTCTTGTAAAAAAGGAGAGGGGACTAACAGATGGTGTAGTGGTTATGTGGATGCCCAAAATCCTAAGAGGAGAATGGAAGAGAAGGGACTGCAATGTGGTCATACTCTCTAGGGGGGTGATTTCTTACTTTCAAACTGTTGGATCTGGGCCTTGAGCCATGGTCTGCTATAAGAGAATTCAGCAACTTAACCACTATGCCACCTGCTGGCTCCCCAAGCCCATTGTCAAATAACACTGTACTTCGTGAGGGATAGTGTAAGTATTTTACAGTAAGAAAAAAATCCTAATTCCTCCATCTTGTCCCTTGTAACATTGTTATCATTCATTTCACTTATACATAAGCATATATACACAAACATACATATCAAGCACATTATTGTCATCATTGTTTTGAGAAAAGTTGTCTGTTAGATTAAGAAAAGTAAGTTTTTATTTTGTATTTACATATTCCTTTTCTAATCCTTTTCCTTCCTTTACATAGACCCAAGTTTTTGATCCACATCAATTTCTTTTTTTGTGAAGAACTCCTTTTTAACATTTTTTTTGTAAGGCAGGGCTGCTGACAAATTTCCTCAATTTTTGTTTGTTTGAATCTTTAATTTTTTCTTTAATTTTGAAGGATAATTTTGTAGGGTATAGAATTCTAGGTTGCCAGGCTTTTTCCCTCATTGGCTTTACATATTTCACTCTAATAGTATTACGTATGTCTTCCTTCTCACTAAGGTAGAATGAGAATACTTTTCTGATGTAAGGTTTAGTTCACATATCACTACTTTTATTTTTAAATTTATTTTTAAAGAATTATTTTATTTATTTATTATTATAATAATTTTTTAGTGTGCTGTAGGGCACATGTGCTCACCAGAGAGAGAAAGAGAGAGACAGAGAGACAGAGTGAGAGAGCGAGAGAGAGAGAAAGTGAGAAAGCAAGCCACCATGTCCAGGACTTGAGCTATGGCCAGCCATGTGGGAATTCAGTGCCTTAACCAACGCACTACCTGCTGGCCCCATCACTGTCTTCAGTCCATAGTTTGTTTCTTTAGCAAGACTCTGAGTCCTTAAAGACAAAAATGCAGATTCATATATATTTTCTCTCTCTATGCCAACACAGGATGGGTATATCACAGCTACTTACTGAATGAGTGACTATGCCTGAATGGTTACCAATTTCTTATCAGATTTGAGACAGCCAATAAATAAAGTACCTTGTTCAAAAGCTCTGCTCACATCATCAGTAAATTCCTTCTGTTTAGCTGAAAGAGAAAACCATTATCTTAATTTTTCTATTTAAATAGACTCCTAAAATGAAGATAAGATTTTGTCATCACGCTGATTTGAACCCAGCAAAGTAGGGGACATGGAGTCAAGGGTAAGGCTTCAGAACCTTGTCTCTATATAGGTAGCTGATTGGTTGAAATGAACTACATTTAAAAAAAGGGCTTTTTTTAAGTACATGTACTTACTGGGATTGAGAAAAGGGCAGAAGGAGAAAGTAAGAAATCACCCCTAAGAGGCGATGGCATGTGCAATCCCTTTTCTTCTATTCTCCTTTCGGAATTTTGGGCAGGCACACACAACTGCCGGCATATCTTCTAAGCCACAGGGTCCAGGGCTCCCTGGCCAAGTGGAATCCAGCCTCCTTAACCACGCCACTTGCAGAGTCATATTTTGTAGCCATGAAAGGTATGAAGGGCAATCACCTAGACTGAGTGTTTTAGGAAACCATTTGCAAACTATATAACTTCCCAGAAAAATGAAAACACTTTGGACCAGCAGGTGGCGTTGTGGTTAAGGTGCTGGATACTCCCACATGGTCAACCATGGTTCAAGTCCCAGACATGGTGGCTTGCTCTCTCACTTCTCCTTCCCTTCCCCTGTGTCTCTCTCGTCAAATTAAAATAAAATGAAATAAGTAATTCTTAAAAAAAAATTGAAAACACTTAGATCATATCGTGTCTTTTTTTTTAAGAGGTTTTTGCTATAGGGCGTGTGCGCTCCCTGAAGAGACCGAGACAGAGAGACAGACAGAAAACAAGAAATCACCCCCAGGCGGATCACCCCCAGGCGGGATGGCCTGGCTGCAATTCCTTTTCTTCTATTCTCCTCTTGGGATTTTGGGCATGGGTGCACATGCTCCCAGTGTGAGTTTCAAGGTACCAGGTCCAGGATTCAAACTGTGGTCAGCCATGTGAGAATCCAATGCCTTTAGTCACCACACCGCCTTGTCTGTTCATTATTACTCACTCATTTAGTAAGTATTTATCGAGTCCCTGTTGTATTCCAAGTACTATTCTGTGAGCTTAGGATATAAGGGAAGCCAAAAAACAAAAACCAAGACATAGTTTCTTCTTCTGTGGAACTTCCAGCCTAATGTGATACGGATCAAAAGATGTCATATACAACAGTAAAGTTATAACCGCGACTTGCGCTGTGAAAGAGTTATTTAGCAATGCAAAGATCTGTATGGACCCACCCACACAGGAAGGTCCTGGTTCACAACCCGAGGCCTCTCTGTACATGACATGCTCCTTGTAAAGTGCCTGTAATCCAGGCTGGCTGAGGCTGGGTGGACTGCGGTGTGAAGACTGCTGGAGGTGACTGTCTCTAGCTCTATCTCTGCCAGCGCATACGGGGCCTTACACAGCATGTTGAAAAGTTTAGTCTTACACTTGAAAACAGTGAGAAGCCAATTAAATGTGTGGATTTTTTTTTTTAAAGGTTTTTGGTATAGGGTGCGTGTGCTTGTCAGAAAGACAAAGAGACAGAAAGCGAGAAATCACCCCCCCAGGGGGGAGATGGCCATGCCGCAATCCCTTCTCCTCCATTCTCCTCTCTGGATCTTGAGCATGCACACATGCCTAGCATCAGTTTAAGTAACTGGGTCTGGGACTCAAACTGCGGTCGACTACATGGGAGTCCAGTGACATAGCCTTTACACCAACTGTTGGTCCCATTAATTAAATGTGTTTAAACAAGGCCAAGGACAGTAATTAGTTTTGGGTTTCAGAAAGATCACACAACGACAGTGTAGGCATATCTTAGATAGGGCGTGAGGGTTGAGACAGACCAGTCACAAGCTACTGCAGCTGTCCAGGTGAGACAGAAGAGCAGTTTGGAACAGGGCAGTAGCAGTGAAAACAGAGATGGATGGATGAATTTGAGATACATTTAAGTTGACTCTTTAAGACCTGAAGATGCACTGATTAGAGGGGAAGGGAGAAGGTTATTAAGGATGCCTCTAAGTAGTTACACTTGTGCAATTAAATGGGGTTATTTGTTTAGAGAGGGAACAATTAAACAGAAGCTGGATTTTGGGGGGAGAATGTGAAAAGGGGAGTGAGTTCCCTCTTAAGAATTCCATTTTGGACAGGTTCAGTTAAACCTCAATAAGGGACAAGCCATTTCTTTATTGCCCATTGCTATTTTATCAATGTCATGCACAGTGTCTGATACTGCAACACACCATAAATACTTGGGAAGTGCATGTGGTCTAAGAAACTTGGGGCCTTTTCTATGTGGAATGGCTCATTTTATGTGTCAAATTGGCTACTGTACTACACTCAGTTTGATTTACACTAGTACGCATGATACTGTGAAAATATTTTATAAATATTAAAAAAAAAAATTTAACTTTATTTACCCTAATTTGACCAGAGAGGGACAGAGTGAGAGAGGAGAGAGAGATACAGAGGGAGGGAGGGAGAAAGTGAGAAAGCAAGCTGCCAGGTTCGGGATTTGAACCGTGGTTGGCTATGTGGGAGTCCAGTGCCCTTAACCACCATGCCGCCTGCTGGCCCCAAGTATTTTATAAATATTAACATTTACAACCGGTTTATTTTATTTTATTTTTAATTTGTAGGTGTGTGTGTTTGCCAGGGAGGGAGAGAGAGAGAAAGTGAGGAAGCACCCATTATGGGAAACAGTCATGCCACAATTTCTTATCCTTTATTTCTCTTTCCTTTCAGGATTTTGGGCACGTATTCACACATGCTCAGCGTGTTTTTCAAGCCACAGGGTCTGGAACTCGAATCCCACAGTTGGCCATGGGGAATCCAGCTGCCTTAACTACCAGGCCACAGGCTGGCCCCAGTTGACTTTAAATAAATAATGTAGGTGGGTCTCAACCCATTAAGTCAAGGCATTAAATGTGAAAACAGGTTTCCTGGTAAAGGATTTTGTCTCAAGAGTGTAAAGCAGAAATTCTACTTAAATTTCTAGCCTGTTGTCCTGCCTTACAGATGTTGGATATGAAGTTCATACAATCACGTGAGCCAGTTTCTTAAAATAAGTATCTATCTGCCTATCTATCCATCCCATTGGTTCTCTGAAGAATCCTGGCTGACACAGTACAGAACCAAACTGAAAACAAAGCAATATGGAGTTAGGAAATTTGGGTTTCAATGTTTGTCCTGCAGCATATCTGTGGTATTACTTTGGGCATTACTGTTAACTTCTGAGGCCCATTTTCCATGGATAATGGTATCTAAATAATATCATTGGTGGGAAAGCTCATTGTGATTGATGAAATATGATTATATCCTTGGCTTAAGGCTCCCTTCCATAGGGTCAGAGCTGTTGCAAGTATAACCTCCAGACAAAATTGGTTGCAGTATGATCAAGAAAAAAGTATTCCTCAAATCATTATGATGATCAGTATGTACTCCTGACATTCTTTTTAAAAAAATTTTTATTTTAGTTTTTGCCATAGGGTGCATACACTCACTGGAAAGAGACTGATACAGGAAAAGTGAGAAATCACTTCCTAGGGGTGATGGCCATACCACAATCCTTTTTCCTCCTGGGATTTAGGGCATGCATGTGATTTGCAAGCCACCAGTTCTGGGACTCAAACCATGGTTGACAATGTGGGAGTCTAGTGCCTTAACCACCATGCCACCTCATTTTCACTTAAGCCTGAACAAATACTCCCAATAGAAATAAAATGCATTTGGTGACATTTTATCTCTTACCTGTGACAGTGGATTCGATCTCTTCCATGGCAGCTTCATTTTGAGCTTCTGCAAGTTTTTCATTGATTTCCATTATCTCCAAGAGGAATTGCCCATCCATTTCAAAATCTGTCCCTTCAGAAATCTCTATACCACGGAGCTTTAGCTATTGGGGCAGAAAGCCAGAAAAAACAAGTTTGGTATGAAACTACAGCCAGAGTCAAGTAACACCTACTCACCCTACAGAACATACCATTCATTGGGAACCTTACGCTGTCCCAAGAACGAATGAGGGGGTGCCTGACACTGGTACAGCAATAACATACAACACTCTGAGGCTGACCCACATGGGAGGGTTCTTTCTTTTTTTGAGAGGTTTTTGCTCTAGGGCGATTTTGAGAGGTTTTTGCTATAGGGCGCATGTGCTCGCCAGGAAGAAGGAGGGAGACAGAGAGACAGAAAGTGAGAAATCACCCCCCAGGGGGGATGGCCATGCTGCAATCCCTTCTCCTCCATTCTCCTCTCGGGATCTTGGGCACGCATGCACACACCCCAGCGTGAGTTTAAGCCACTGGGCCCGGGACTCGAACCGCGGTCAACTATGTGGGAGTCCAGTGACACAGCCATTACGCCAACTGCTGGTCCCCATAGTAGTGTTCTTGATATGCACCCAGAGACCTCCCTGAGTATATCCACCATACGCTGTGCTAAAAAGGTCAGTGGTAGATTGTGGCATCGAGACCATGTTAAGGGTGCTGTCTCCCTCTCTCAATTGTGGACGGGAAGAAAAGAGTAAAGATAGGGTCTCAAAAGCTTGGACTGACACAGGAGTGCCAGGATAGGATCCTACCCAGTGTTCTGTAACCTTGGAGTAGTAATGACAACTTCCACTTGGAAGTTGAGCTAGATGTTTGTAAAGATATTCAGTTCTAAAATTTTCTAGATTTAAAACAAACAAAATAGATGTGTGTGTGTGTGTGTATAGTGTGTGTGTCTAAGTATATATATATATATACACATACTAAATATATATATATATATATATATATTTAAATTTGACTAGAGAGAGACAGAGAGAGAGAGACAGTGAGAAAGCAAGCCATCAGGTCCAGGACATGAACCGTGGTGGGCCATGTGGGAGTCCATTATGTCATGCCACCTGCTGGTCCCAAATTTTCCAGATTCTATGATGCTCCAGACAAAAGCAAACAAAATAAACTCTTAAAACTGTTCTTTTCTGAGGGACCAGCAGTTAGCGTAATGGCTATGTCACTGGACTCCCATGTAGCCGACCGTGGTTCAAGTCCCAGACCTAGTGTCTTAAACTCACACTGGATGCATGTGCGTGCGTGCCCAAGATCCCGAGAGGAGAATGGAGGAGAAGGGATTGTGGAGTGGTCATCCCCCCTGGGGGGTAATTTCTCGCTTTCTGTCTCTCTGTCTTTCTGGTGAGTGCCCTATAGCAAAAACCTCTCCAAAAAGAAAAATAAAATAAAAACTACTCTTTCCTAAAAACCATCACTGAATCTTTAAAATTTATTAAAAAAAAATTGTTAAAAAATGCAATTGGGGCATTTTCGGCATTGTAAGATTTACAGAGAATACTCTGAAAATTGTGCACTCATGTAGTAAAATTGAGGCTAAGTATTGTGAAGTCTGTGGACTAGCTCTAGGTCTCAAGGACTCTTCTGCTGTATGTAGTGGATGCAGCCGTTCTATTGATATGTCACAACAGGTACCAGTAAGTAACACATAGAAAGGTTGGGAAATCACCTTACAAGGTATAGTCCCCTGCTCAGGGGAGCCTGAAGAGTCTTATAGGCATCGTTCACCAAGGTGGAATGCTTCTCTGAGAAATCCTTTTCAGTCTGTTAGTAGAGATGAAAACAGTTCTATCACCATCCAAATCAGCCATCACAATCAAACATTTAGACTTCTAGAATATGCTGATGGGCAGGCAGGTAGGGCTGTAGCCAAAGTAGAACTGGTGTTGATGAGCTGTCTTTATTTCCAGCTGATGGGTTCTAAGTTGTCTGGGAACTCAGTTAAAATCTGTGAGAGGGGCCAGCAGGTGGGATGGTGTGGTGTAGGAACTGGATTCCTACATGGCCGACTGCAGTTCGAGTCCCAGGGATGGTGGCTGGTAGTTGGTGGCTGGTAGCTGGTGGCTGGTGGCTTGCTTTCTTACTTTTCCTTTCTCTCTCTTTCTTTTTGGTGAGCGCATATGCCCTATAGTGTACTTAAAAATAATAGCAATAATAGAGGCCAGCAGGTGGCATGGTGGTTAAGGGCACTGGACTCCCACATGGCTGACCATGGTTTGAATTCTGGATCTGGTGGCTTGCTTCCTCACCCACTGCCCCTGGCTCTGTCCCTCTCTGTAAAAAGTAAAATAAATAAATAGATAAAGTTAAATAAAATAACTCTTTTAAAAATAGATCAATAACAATAAATAAATTAAATTATTAAAAAAAAAAAGGTGTGAGTGAATGAGTGTTCCAAGACCTGGATGGTAAGGCTCAGCCTGCCACATGGTGGAGCTGACTATCCAGCTTTGTCCCCGATAATGACATAACCATAGGCCACCACCACCCACCAGGTGTGCACACATATTTGGGGATTATTGGGCATGGCCAGTAAGATACCTGGGACTTCTGGCTGAAGAAATCTGGGTGGATAAGACGTTGCAGTTGCTGGTACCTGTGTTGAAGTTTTGCAGTGTCAACTCTGAAGGATCGGTTGCTGGAAGGAAATTCATGCAACAATTATTTATAGATTCGTCTACTTTGGGCCTGGTTTCTGTTCTTCTGGGGTGAATGCAATGGATATAAAGAGGGGTTGAGACCAGCAGGTGGTGTAATGGTTACGTTACTGGACTCCCACATGGCCAACCACAGTTCGAGTCCTGGATCCTGCAACTTGAAACATGCCAAGTGTATGTGCATGTGTGCCCAAAATCCTGAGAGGAGAATGGGGGAAAAGGGATTGCGGTGTGGCCATCCCCCTGGGGGTGATTTCTCTCTGTCTTTCTGTCTCTCTGGCAAGTGCATGTGCCCTATAGAAAAAAAAAAAAATTAAAGAGTTAGGGGCCAGCAGGTGGTGGGATCAGGGTGCTGGACCCCCACATAGTCAACTGTGGTTCAAGTCCTGGCCCTGGCAGCCTGCTTTCTCACAACCTACCCTCCACCCCGCCACACACACACATACTTGTCTGTTTCTGGTGAGCACATGTGCCCTATAGCAAATTTAAAAAACAGTAACAAATAAGTCTTTAAAAAATATATAAAGGAACCAGCAGTTAGTGTAATGGCTATGTCGCTGAACTCCCATGTAGCCGACTGCAGTTCAAGTCCCAGACGTGGTGGTTTAAACTCATGCCGGGCGCATGTGCGTGCATGCCCAAGATCCCAAGAAGAGAATGGAGGAGAAGGGATTGCGGCTTAGCCATCCCCCCTGGGGGGTGATTTTTCGCTTTCTATCTTTCTGTTTCTCTGGCGAGCACACTCGCCCTATAGTAAAAACCTCTCCACACACACATATATATTTTGTTTCAAATAGTTGGCCCAGCATAGTGGCACAGTTGGTAGCAAACTTAACTGCAGTGTTAGAAGCCACATGGCTGAGGTAGGATCCTACCCAGTGTTCTGTAACCTTGGAGTAGTAATGACAACTTCCACTTGGAAGTTGAGCTAGATGTTTGTAAAGATATTCAGTTCTAAAATTTTCTAGATTTAAAACAAACAAAATAGATGTGTGTGTGTGTGTGTATAGTGTGTGTGTCTAAGTATATATATATATATACACATACTAAATATATATATATATATATATTTAAATTTGACTAGAGAGAGACAGAGAGAGAGAGACAGTGAGAAAGCAAGCCATCAGGTCCAGGACATGAACCGTGGTGGGCCATGTGGGAGTCCATTATGTCATGCCACCTGCTGGTCCCAAATTTTCCAGATTCTATGATGCTCCAGACAAAAGCAAACAAAATAAACTCTTAAAACTGTTCTTTTCTGAGGGACCAGCAGTTAGCGTAATGGCTATGTCACTGGACTCCCATGTAGCCGACCGTGGTTCAAGTCCCAGACCTAGTGTCTTAAACTCACACTGGATGCATGTGCGTGCGTGCCCAAGATCCCGAGAGGAGAATGGAGGAGAAGGGATTGTGGAGTGGTCATCCCCCCTGGGGGGTAATTTCTCGCTTTCTGTCTCTCTGTCTTTCTGGTGAGTGCCCTATAGCAAAAACCTCTCCAAAAAGAAAAATAAAATAAAAACTACTCTTTCCTAAAAACCATCACTGAATCTTTAAAATTTATTAAAAAAAAATTGTTAAAAAATGCAATTGGGGCATTTTCGGCATTGTAAGATTTACAGAGAATACTCTGAAAATTGTGCACTCATGTAGTAAAATTGAGGCTAAGTATTGTGAAGTCTGTGGACTAGCTCTAGGTCTCAAGGACTCTTCTGCTGTATGTAGTGGATGCAGCCGTTCTATTGATATGTCACAACAGGTACCAGTAAGTAACACATAGAAAGGTTGGGAAATCACCTTACAAGGTATAGTCCCCTGCTCAGGGGAGCCTGAAGAGTCTTATAGGCATCGTTCACCAAGGTGGAATGCTTCTCTGAGAAATCCTTTTCAGTCTGTTAGTAGAGATGAAAACAGTTCTATCACCATCCAAATCAGCCATCACAATCAAACATTTAGACTTCTAGAATATGCTGATGGGCAGGCAGGTAGGGCTGTAGCCAAAGTAGAACTGGTGTTGATGAGCTGTCTTTATTTCCAGCTGATGGGTTCTAAGTTGTCTGGGAACTCAGTTAAAATCTGTGAGAGGGGCCAGCAGGTGGGATGGTGTGGTGTAGGAACTGGATTCCTACATGGCCGACTGCAGTTCGAGTCCCAGGGATGGTGGCTGGTAGTTGGTGGCTGGTAGCTGGTGGCTGGTGGCTTGCTTTCTTACTTTTCCTTTCTCTCTCTTTCTTTTTGGTGAGCGCATATGCCCTATAGTGTACTTAAAAATAATAGCAATAATAGAGGCCAGCAGGTGGCATGGTGGTTAAGGGCACTGGACTCCCACATGGCTGACCATGGTTTGAATTCTGGATCTGGTGGCTTGCTTCCTCACCCACTGCCCCTGGCTCTGTCCCTCTCTGTAAAAAGTAAAATAAATAAATAGATAAAGTTAAATAAAATAACTCTTTTAAAAATAGATCAATAACAATAAATAAATTAAATTATTAAAAAAAAAAGGGGGGAGTGAATGAGTGTTCCAAGACCTGGATGGTAAGGCTCAGCCTGCCACATGGTGGAGCTGACTATCCAGCTTTGTCCCCGATAATGACATAACCATAGGCCACCACCACCCACCAGGTGTGCACACATATTTGGGGATTATTGGGCATGGCCAGTAAGATACCTGGGACTTCTGGCTGAAGAAATCTGGGTGGATAAGACGTTGCAGTTGCTGGTACCTGTGTTGAAGTTTTGCAGTGTCAACTCTGAAGGATCGGTTGCTGGAAGGAAATTCATGCAACAATTATTTATAGATTCGTCTACTTTGGGCCTGGTTTCTGTTCTTCTGGGGTGAATGCAATGGATATAAAGAGGGGTTGAGACCAGCAGGTGGTGTAATGGTTACGTTACTGGACTCCCACATGGCCAACCACAGTTCGAGTCCTGGATCCTGCAACTTGAAACATGCCAAGTGTATGTGCATGTGTGCCCAAAATCCTGAGAGGAGAATGGGGGAAAAGGGATTGCGGTGTGGCCATCCCCCTGGGGGTGATTTCTCTCTGTCTTTCTGTCTCTCTGGCAAGTGCATGTGCCCTATAGAAAAAAAAAAAAATTAAAGAGTTAGGGGCCAGCAGGTGGTGGGATCAGGGTGCTGGACCCCCACATAGTCAACTGTGGTTCAAGTCCTGGCCCTGGCAGCCTGCTTTCTCACAACCTACCCTCCACCCCGCCACACACACACATACTTGTCTGTTTCTGGTGAGCACATGTGCCCTATAGCAAATTTAAAAAACAGTAACAAATAAGTCTTTAAAAAATATATAAAGGAACCAGCAGTTAGTGTAATGGCTATGTCGCTGAACTCCCATGTAGCCGACTGCAGTTCAAGTCCCAGACGTGGTGGTTTAAACTCATGCCGGGCGCATGTGCGTGCATGCCCAAGATCCCAAGAAGAGAATGGAGGAGAAGGGATTGCGGCTTAGCCATCCCCCCTGGGGGGTGATTTTTCGCTTTCTATCTTTCTGTTTCTCTGGCGAGCACACTCGCCCTATAGTAAAAACCTCTCCACACACACATATATATTTTGTTTCAAATAGTTGGCCCAGCATAGTGGCACAGTTGGTAGCAAACTTAACTGCAGTGTTAGAAGCCACATGGCTGAGGGGTTTGGATCTCCAGGTTGGCCTGAAAACATGTCCGGTGCACGTGTACGTACCCAAAATCCACACGTGAGGTGTGTATGGGGAACCCGTGGGAAGGGGATCATTGTGAAGAGGTGTTTCTCTCTGTCTCTAGTGTATGTCCAAGTGTTCTACCATGAATTAAAATAAACAAGTCTAACAAAAAGTAGTAGTAGGTGCTATGAAGGAAAACAGAACAGGGTTAGAGAGGGTGGCAGATGCAGTGGACAAAGAGATGTCTTCACCTGAGACCTGACTGATGATGGTGAGTATCCAGATCAGCGGAGTCACCCAGGCAGGGGGAGCTGGCAGTGCAGACCCTGAGCTGGGAACAAGACTGGCAGGCTTGAGAAATGTACAGGGTAGTGCTACCGTAGCCCACTCTAAGTGCTCAGAGACTGGGGGGACAGCACTCATTTAGAGATGAGGCATTTCCAAGGCCTAGGTCCCTGCATTCTCCTTTATTTTATTCATTTATTTAAAATGTTTTGCCAGAGAGAAAGCGGGAGAAAGCACCCCCTCATGAGTAATGGTCACTCTGCATTCTCATTCTGTCCGGCTTGGGCACACACACATGCACAGGGTATGTCTCCTAAGTTTCGGGTCAGTAACTCCAATCGTGGGGTCAGCCATTTGGGATCTGACTGCCCTCATCACCAAGCGACGGAGCCTAGCTTCCTGTCCCCCTTTTTAAAATCCCATTCCTTTCGCTTTCTGTTCAGACCCTGTTCTACTTCCTCACCAGTTCAGCTCTGCGCACACCTCCCCCGCCTCTCCAAGCTCCTCAATCTTCAGTGGAAAATGACCATGTACTGGTTCTGCCCCCTCCAAGTCCCAGTTTTCCTTTAGCCCTATTCAGGTTTTCGGCCTTTAGTACACACGTCAGTACTGTTTTTTTAAGTCTGATCCCACTGTCAAGTGTCTCAGCTGCCAGGCCTGGTTTTCAAATGCCCTTCCCTCCAGCCCCGCCCCCCGACTTCTCCTTCCCTTACCCTCAGTAGCCTCAGCCAAGCTGTCTTTATTTCCAGCTGATGGGTTCTAAGTTGTCTGGGAACTCAGTTAAAATCTGTGAGAGGGGCCAGCAGGTGGGATGGTGTGGTGTAGGAACTGGATTCCTACATGGCCGACTGCAGTTCGAGTCCCAGGGATGGTGGCTGGTAGTTGGTGGCTGGTAGCTGGTGGCTGGTGGCTTGCTTTCTTACTTTTCCTTTCTCTCTCTTTCTTTTTGGTGAGCGCATATGCCCTATAGTGTACTTAAAAATAATAGCAATAATAGAGGCCAGCAGGTGGCATGGTGGTTAAGGGCACTGGACTCCCACATGGCTGACCATGGTTTGAATTCTGGATCTGGTGGCTTGCTTCCTCACCCACTGCCCCTGGCTCTGTCCCTCTCTGTAAAAAGTAAAATAAATAAATAGATAAAGTTAAATAAAATAACTCTTTTAAAAATAGATCAATAACAATAAATAAATTAAATTATTAAAAAAAAAAGGGGGGAGTGAATGAGTGTTCCAAGACCTGGATGGTAAGGCTCAGCCTGCCACATGGTGGAGCTGACTATCCAGCTTTGTCCCCGATAATGACATAACCATAGGCCACCACCACCCACCAGGTGTGCACACATATTTGGGGATTATTGGGCATGGCCAGTAAGATACCTGGGACTTCTGGCTGAAGAAATCTGGGTGGATAAGACGTTGCAGTTGCTGGTACCTGTGTTGAAGTTTTGCAGTGTCAACTCTGAAGGATCGGTTGCTGGAAGGAAATTCATGCAACAATTATTTATAGATTCGTCTACTTTGGGCCTGGTTTCTGTTCTTCTGGGGTGAATGCAATGGATATAAAGAGGGGTTGAGACCAGCAGGTGGTGTAATGGTTACGTTACTGGACTCCCACATGGCCAACCACAGTTCGAGTCCTGGATCCTGCAACTTGAAACATGCCAAGTGTATGTGCATGTGTGCCCAAAATCCTGAGAGGAGAATGGGGGAAAAGGGATTGCGGTGTGGCCATCCCCCTGGGGGTGATTTCTCTCTGTCTTTCTGTCTCTCTGGCAAGTGCATGTGCCCTATAGAAAAAAAAAAAAATTAAAGAGTTAGGGGCCAGCAGGTGGTGGGATCAGGGTGCTGGACCCCCACATAGTCAACTGTGGTTCAAGTCCTGGCCCTGGCAGCCTGCTTTCTCACAACCTACCCTCCACCCCGCCACACACACACATACTTGTCTGTTTCTGGTGAGCACATGTGCCCTATAGCAAATTTAAAAAACAGTAACAAATAAGTCTTTAAAAAATATATAAAGGAACCAGCAGTTAGTGTAATGGCTATGTCGCTGAACTCCCATGTAGCCGACTGCAGTTCAAGTCCCAGACGTGGTGGTTTAAACTCATGCCGGGCGCATGTGCGTGCATGCCCAAGATCCCAAGAAGAGAATGGAGGAGAAGGGATTGCGGCTTAGCCATCCCCCCTGGGGGGTGATTTTTCGCTTTCTATCTTTCTGTTTCTCTGGCGAGCACACTCGCCCTATAGTAAAAACCTCTCCACACACACATATATATTTTGTTTCAAATAGTTGGCCCAGCATAGTGGCACAGTTGGTAGCAAACTTAACTGCAGTGTTAGAAGCCACATGGCTGAGGGGTTTGGATCTCCAGGTTGGCCTGAAAACATGTCCGGTGCACGTGTACGTACCCAAAATCCACACGTGAGGTGTGTATGGGGAACCCGTGGGAAGGGGATCATTGTGAAGAGGTGTTTCTCTCTGTCTCTAGTGTATGTCCAAGTGTTCTACCATGAATTAAAATAAACAAGTCTAACAAAAAGTAGTAGTAGGTGCTATGAAGGAAAACAGAACAGGGTTAGAGAGGGTGGCAGATGCAGTGGACAAAGAGATGTCTTCACCTGAGACCTGACTGATGATGGTGAGTATCCAGATCAGCGGAGTCACCCAGGCAGGGGGAGCTGGCAGTGCAGACCCTGAGCTGGGAACAAGACTGGCAGGCTTGAGAAATGTACAGGGTAGTGCTACCGTAGCCCACTCTAAGTGCTCAGAGACTGGGGGGACAGCACTCATTTAGAGATGAGGCATTTCCAAGGCCTAGGTCCCTGCATTCTCCTTTATTTTATTCATTTATTTAAAATGTTTTGCCAGAGAGAAAGCGGGAGAAAGCACCCCCTCATGAGTAATGGTCACTCTGCATTCTCATTCTGTCCGGCTTGGGCACACACACATGCACAGGGTATGTCTCCTAAGTTTCGGGTCAGTAACTCCAATCGTGGGGTCAGCCATTTGGGATCTGACTGCCCTCATCACCAAGCGACGGAGCCTAGCTTCCTGTCCCCCTTTTTAAAATCCCATTCCTTTCGCTTTCTGTTCAGACCCTGTTCTACTTCCTCACCAGTTCAGCTCTGCGCACACCTCCCCCGCCTCTCCAAGCTCCTCAATCTTCAGTGGAAAATGACCATGTACTGGTTCTGCCCCCTCCAAGTCCCAGTTTTCCTTTAGCCCTATTCAGGTTTTCGGCCTTTAGTACACACGTCAGTACTGTTTTTTTAAGTCTGATCCCACTGTCAAGTGTCTCAGCTGCCTTCAAATGCCCTTCCCTCCAGCCCTGCCCCCCGACTTCTCCTTCCCTTACCCTCAGTAGCCTCAGCCAGACCTCTCTATTCCCCAACTGCCTTCCCCGCCCCTCCAGTCCCACTCCGCTCTCTCAATCCCTCAGTGTCCCTTCTTTCGGTCCCCGCCCCTCAATTTCCTCTCCCTGCGGACGCCTCTCCTACTCCTTCACCAGAGGGCTCCGCCCACCTATCTCACCAGTCTCGCCTCCCTTCCCGCCCCAGTCCGGTTCCCGAGGTCGCCGCCCGTACCAGTCCATTAGGCTGAAGTAGTCTCGAGTGGGGTCAGGAGGCTGCAGCGCGCGGCACTGCGCGCAGAAGAACCCGTCTCCCACCCCTGGGGCCTCCTGGCTGCAGTCCCAGCACTTGGACGAGGGGCTACCCGCCTGCGACGCAGCATTGCAGCTTAGCAGCCTCCTTCCGGGGACCCCTGCGGGCCACACCGCCCACCCCCGGAGCCAGGCCCGAGCCCTCCCGCCCCACATCTGGCCCACCGCCTGTTACCGCGGTCACTGGGGCTGAAAAGAGGGCGTAGCCAACCAGACTAGAGCCACTGATTGGCTGGGAAGCTGAGGGCCCTGATCCGCCGCGAGAAACCCGGATTCTGAGTCTCTCTTTACATTTTAAACTACAACTCCCAGCAAGCATTGAAGTCACACGTGATACTCACATCCGCTGCTCCTCATTGGTCAGACGGCTGCAGAGGGCATTTTGATTGGCTGAGGGTGGAGTTTGTATCTGTGCCTTTAGCGCCACTCTGCTATCTGCGGCTCCGAGGAGCGTGGGACTCCCGGTGGGCTCACGCGGTGAGTCATAGTGGGAAACTTATCTTGGGTGTTTAAAGGGTTCGAGTCCCGTCTTCAGGCCCTTATGTTCAGCGGAATTTCTCAGTCTTCCGCATTGTCTGAATTTTCAAGCCGGAGGGGGAGTGCGTGGGCGATTCTCTTCCTTGTTTGTAGATAATCTTCTAGGTGAAGTTCACTTCCCCTATTCCTTACGAGCTGGAACAGGCCCGGAGGTACAAGTTTAGAAGAAACAGAGTTGCTCTTACAGCCCGGAGGTACAAGTTTAGAAGGAACAGAGTTGCTCTTACAAATCATAACGAAATGTCTTTGTGAAGGCCTCTATAAATGTCAGGAATAAATAAACAGCACTCCTTAGGCTCAATATCTAAAATAGTTTTTGAGAAACAGTATTGGGTGCTAGGCGCTGGAAACACTTTAACCTGTGCAGGAGTATCCAAAAGTGTTTGGGATGGACTAGCAAGGAGTGGATAGAAGGGCACCAGTCCTCCTTGGTACTGACTTTCTTTATTTGAAAAGGTTGTGTTGTGCTTGTAAGGCCTCTGAGTCTTCTAGACTGGGATTCTGTCCAGAGTTCTAGAGTTTTTTTTTTTCTTTTTTTTTCTTTTGGAGAGGTTTTCACTATAGGGCGCGTGCGCTCGCCAGACAGACAGAGAGAGACATTAGAGACAGAAAGCGAGAAATCACCCCCCCCAGGGGGGATGGTCACGCCGCAATCCCTTCTCCTCCATTCTCCTCTCGGGATCTTGGGCACGCACGCACACGCGCCTGGCGTGAGTTTTAAGCCACTGGGTCCCAGACGCAAACCGCGGTCGACTACGTGGGAGTCCAGCAACATAGCCATTACGCTAACTGCTGGTTCCCATAGAGTTCTAGAGTTTTGGGTGGAGTGGCTTCTCTCACTACACAGGCCTCCCAGTAAGAATAACTCCCAATTAGCAAATATTATGGGGGGGCACTTAATCTTTGCAATTCTAATACTTCTTTTATAATTTTTTCATCTTCATTTAACTTTCTCAAAATAATTATTTATTTAATTTTATTTATTTTTGATTATTTTTCAATTTGACCAGAAAGATAGAGAGGGAGAGTAAGAAAGCAAGCTACGAGGTCCAGGACTTGAATCGTGGTCTGCCATGTGGGAGTCCAGTGCCCCAGCTACCATGCCACCAGCCATCCCCAGCAACCTTCATAGTTTTTTCTGAGGAAACTGTCTCAGAGAAGTGATCTTAGTAGATCATGCAACCTTTTGGATCCAGTGTCTGTACTTCAAGCCTGCTTACCTCCTCCTGTCTCTCATAGCTACCTGTTGACACACTTTTCTTCATTTGTCAGGGCAGAGAAGTCTTGTTCAAAAGCTGTGGGAAGGACCCAGCCTTCCTGAGGTTGCATTAAACCAGCAGGTCCTGGAGTGGCAGACTCAGCTGTGGCATCACCTTCTTGGTGTGTTCTAAGGACAATTCATCAGGACCTTTGTATCTTGAAAACTATGTAAATGCAGTCAGTGTGAGTAATATAATATTGTTTACTGAGTGTGGGGAGGAGGAGACGATGTACATTAAAAAAAAATATACGAGTGGGTCACCTTTGAAAGTTATTTTGGCTTTATTGATTGTTCTGTTACCAGAATCTAACTGTCCATCAAATTAAAAGGGAAGATGAGATCCTTTGTAGGGTCTCATGTGACTCAGAATGGTTCTTGCAAGATTCTGTGAATATTAAGGCTGGAAGATTAGGATGGTGAAAAAAATGGGTTCTCAAATTATTTAACATCACAAAGGGTAAGATGGAGTTGTTTAGCTCACTCTTCTTTGGGTTCTGCCACTTTAAGTGACCAGCCCCCCCCCCCTTTTTTTAAGAGTTACTTTATTTAAATTTATTTATTTATTTATTTATTTATTTTTAGAAATTTTTGCTATAGGGCGCATGTGCTCGCCAGACAGAGAGAGACAGAGAGACAGAAAACGAGAAATCACCCCTGAGGGGGGTTGGCCACACCGCAGTCCCATCTCCTCCATTCATCTCTTGGGATCCTGGGCACGCACACCAGTGTGCATGCCTGGTGTGAGTTTTAAGCCGCTGTGTCCGGGACACGAACTGCAGTCGACTACGTGGGAGTCCAGCGACATAGCCATTACGCTAACTGCTGGTCCCGATTTCTTTTCTAATTCTTAAAAATTGGATAAATGTAAAGTTTTGGGAGCCTGCCATACCCCCAATTCAGTTTCTTTTTCTTTTTCTTTTTTAAGAAAGATTTTTGCTATAAGGTACATGTGCTCACCCAAGAGACAGCTACAGATGGAAAGACAGAAAGGGAGAAATCAACCAAGGTGGGGTGGAGGTGGAATGGCCATGCCATAATCCCTTCTCTTCCTTTCCTCTCTCAGGATCTTGGGCATGCATGCATATGCACCTGGCATGAGTTCCAAGTCACGGGGTCTGGGACTCGAACTACAGTTGACTACACGGTAGTCCAGCGACCATAGCCATTATGCCATGGTCTGCTGGTCCCCAATTTCTTTTTCTTTTTTTCTTCTTTGTAGACTTAAATGATTTTTTTTTTCTTCTATGATTTATGGCCATTAGACAAAACACTGATCTGGGGAAAAAGATACGATGGAAAACCCAAAAGCTTTGTAGATCTAGACAGTCAGGATTTTAATTTTTGCAGAACATGCTTGTCTTGGATTTATTTTTCCTGCTGTAATATACCCATACTTAACTCTTTAACTTTTTAAGTCTTTTCCCTTGAGACTCACCTTATTTGTTGGACACTTACTTTTTGAGGTCGTGATGTCCCGGGAGACAAATGTGGAGGGTCAGCAGTCCCAAGCCAGTACCTCCTCACAGTCCCACGGCAGTGGCACCTGTTCACAGCCCCAAAGTGGCGTCACCCAGTCCCACGGCTCTTCCTTGCAGTCCCAGGGCACATCCAGCTCCTCCAACAGCACCGTGCCCACCTCCAGCCAGTCCTCTCACTCCAGCTCCGGGACGCTGAGCTCCTTAGAGACAGTGTCTACTCAGGAACTCTGTTCTATTCCGGAGGACCAAGAACCCGACGAGCCTGTCGCTGCCCCTTGGGCCCGATTATGGGCCCTTCAGGAGGGATTCTCCAATCTTGGTAAGAACCTATGTTATATGGTGTAATGTATTGTTCAGGGAAATAATTACAGAATGCTGTTGCAGTAGAAAGCTCAAGACACTACTGGAATGATCTCATGTTTGAAGGTGATGAAGGATAAAACTGAAGGCAGTATGCTGGCTCTACCTGCTGGGAATTCCCTTCATTTATTCTTTGATTAGATACTAACAGGGCATTTACAATGCGTTGTCCAACTGTGGATCAGTGGAGAGTTGAGGAAAATGCTGACTTATGCAAACTTGAAAGCATTATCAGCTTCTTAAAGAAGCTTCCCATTACCTCCTGCTGTGGGCTTTGCACAGCTTCTCTGTCGCCTTATCTGTTCACAATAGGGAAAGCAATTGTTGACTACCCCTTACTTGTTTTTGTCTCAGAACAAGTTGGCAATTTAAATGTGTTGATCCTTCCTGACACCTCCTGGCTCCCTTAGTAACTCTTTGCTATGCATCTGTCTGAAATAGCATTTTTCTTCCCTTCCCTTAAAATGACCTTTTCAGGGGCCAGCAGGTGGTGTGGTAGTTAAAGGTGCTGGACTCCCACATGGTTGACCACAGTTCAAGTCCCCGAGCTGGTGACTTGCTTTCTCACTTTCTTTTTTTAAAATTTTTTTATTTTACTTCATTTTATTTTGAATTTGAGCAGAGAGAGACAAAGAGAGAGAAGGAAAGTGAGAAAGCAAGCTGCCAGGTCCAGGACTCAAACCTGGTCATGCCATGTGGGATTCCAGCCGCCTTAACCACCACGCCACCTGCTGGCCCGCTTTCTCACTTTCTTTCTTTCTCTCTCTCTGATCAAACTGGAAAGTAATATAATACTAATAAAGTTAAATAAAAAGTAAATTCTTTTTTTTTTTTGAGAGGTTTTTGCTATAGGGCGCGTGCGCTTGCCAGACAGACAGAGAGAGACAGAGAGACAGAAAGCGAGAAATCACCCCCCAGGGGGGATGGTCACGCCGTAATCCCTTCTCCATTCTCTTGGGATCTTGGGCACGCACGCACACGCGCCCGGTGTGAGTTTTAAGCCACCGGGTCCGGGACGCGGACCGCGGTCTACTACGTGGGAGTTCAGTGACATAGTCATTACGCTAACTGCTGGTTCCATAAAAAATAAATTCTTAAAACCTCTCTTCTTTTAAGGAACAGAAAATTGAATTTGACATTAATACAGTAGGAAATAATGAAATGGATGACTAATGGACCATTTTGTTTCTTGTCACTCACCACCCTTCCATTTCATCTTATGTCGAACTTTTGTGGTTTTTTTTTTTTTTTTTTTCTAGCCAGTGTGTACACTCACAGGGGACAGAGAGAATGACAGAGAGAGTGAGAAAGCAGCAACCCCTGCCACCACCAGGAAGGGTGGCTACACCACAGTCTCTTCTCCATTCTTCCTCTTTTTGTGATTTTGGACATATGCACTTGCCCAGTATGTTTCTCCAGCTGCTGGTCTGGGACTGGAACCCGATGCAGCCAGCCACATGGCTAACCATATCACCCTGACGAACCCTTACGTCCTAACCATATCACCCCGAACCGTACCACCGCTGGCTGACCCTTATGTCTAACTTTGATGACTTATGAAAGGATAAGAAAATGGAAAACGATGTAGCAGCATTTTACATTTGCACCTTTATTTATTTATTTTTAAGTTTTTTTTTTTTTAAATAATTATTTTATTTAACTTTCTTTCTTTCTTTCTTTCTTTCTTTCTTTCTTTCTTTCTTTCTTTCGACCAGAGAGGGACAGAGTGAGAGAGAGAGGGAAAGTGAGAAAGCAAGCCTCCAGGTTGCTTTCAACCACCATCGGCCATGTGGGAGTCCAGCACCCTTAGCCACTACGCCACCATGCCACCTGCTGGCCCCTATTTATTTATTTTTGAGAGAGATTTTTGTTACAGGGTGCATGTGCTCGCCAGAGAGACAAGAAGCAAGAAATAACCCCCTGGGGGAATGGCCTTGCCACAATCCCTTCTCCTCCAGTCTCTCAGGAGTTTGGGCACCCACACACATGTGCCCAGCATGAGTTTTAAGCCACCAGGTCCACGACTTGAACCGTGGTCGACTATGTGAGAGTCCAGCAACGTAACCATTACACCATCTGCTGTTCCCTTACACATTTATTTTTCTATTTATTTGTTGTGATTTTCAAATCTCCACGTTCAAGACTCAAACCACAGGCAGTCATGGGGGAATCAGCACCTTTAACCACCATGCCACCTGCTGCCCCACATCTACACCACATCTACACCTTTACATTAATTAATTCATTGATTTGTTTTAATCTTGCCAGAGGGCTCATGTGATCCTCAGAGACAGAGAAAGTGCAAGGGAGGGAAAGTGAGAAAGCATCCCCCATGGGGAATGGTCACACCTCAGTTTTTTTCTCCGTATCTCCCTCATTTCAGTATTTTGGGCAGTATATTTTCTAGGTCTGTGTCTTGAACTACAACATCTTAACCTCCATACCACAGACTGGCTATACCACTGCAGGTGACAGGTCAAAGGAATATGGTGACTGGGAGAAGAGGAATTGTCACCAGACGGAGAGAGACAAAGACAGTGAGAGGGAAAATGAGAAATCACTCCCCCACCCTGGGGCAGTGCTGCAGTCTCTTCTCTGCTTTCTTCCTGGGATCTTGGGTATGCACACACACGCACCTGGTGTGAAGCCACCGGATCCAGGACTTGAGCTATGGTCGGCCATGCGGATTCTAGCGATGTGGTCATTACGCCATCTGCTGGCCCCCACTGGTTTATTTTTGAGGATAGAAATAAACAGCCATATGGAAAATAAAGGGCAAGGCCTGGAAGGGTTCAGAGCATAGGAGCTTCTCTGAGTGTGCTACCCTCCTCGCATGTGGATAAATTCTGCAAGCCTCACATATTCAGCCCTCCCGAAGCACCCCAAACCTTGTCCTTCTGGGTTTTTCATTGACTTGCCTGAAAGTCTGAATAACCATGTAGAACTTAAATTGGATGGAAAGGACATGCTCTGAAGCAAATAGACCTGTGGGGAAACCCAGCAAGGCCTGTCTGCTCAGATTCTTGGCCTGTCTGTGCAGCATTTCTTCCTCCTGGGTAAGGCAGGACCCCTTTGTTGCTGGTCTTATGATTGGGGATCTTATGATCTATCAGACAAGGTAGTTCAGAGAATTTCCGTATGGCTGAGACAGAAAGGTGGGGCGTAGGAGTGAATTAGAGTATGTTTTCAGTTTCTGTGGCCTGTCTTTGGAAGAAAAAGGAGAGAGGTTTTGCTTTCTGAGATCCAGCGTGTCCCAACATTATAGCAAAATTCTTTTTTACCTTTATTGCTCTGAAACTTATTGCTCCTGAAGCTGCTTCAGGATCCAAGGACAAGAGCCAAGTACTTAAACAAGAGATATACTTGTTCTGGTCACTTAGGAAATAACAAGGGCTATGGGAGTTATGAACTAGAACTCGTGGATGAGAGCCAAAATGTTTATATATTTATATCATCACATCACATATGGCCATTTAGTCTGATCCCTGTTGCTTAATAACCGGATACCACACTGGGTAATTTATCAACCGTAGAGGTTTATTTTGTTCATGGTTTTGGAGGTCAAAGGGCCATATCTGGTGAGGGTCTTTGGGGGACTCTGCAGAGTCCAAAGGTGGTTCAGGGCATCACATAGCAAGAGTTTGACAAACGGACATGTGTCTCTGTCTGCCTTTACTTAGGAACTCCCCAGGATTCGATCTTGGGGGTTGCATCCTTAATTCTAATCACTTCTCCAAGTTTGTCTGTTACTTCCCCTTTCCTTCTTTTTCCCTCTCTTTTCTTTTCTCTTCCCTCCCTCCCCCTCCTTCCTTCCTTCCTTCCTTCCTTCTTCCCTCCCTCCCTCCCTTCCTCCCTTCCTTTCTTTTTATCATTTTCTTTTAGATTTTGCCAGAGGGTGTATGTGCTTACCAGAGAGAGAGAAAGTGAGAAAGCATCCCTCCGTGGAATGGAAAATGGTCATACCACAATCCCTTCTGTATTTCTCCCTTTTTTTTTTTAATTTTTTTTTTTTATTTTGAGACTTTGGGCACACAGGCACACATGCCTGGCTTGTTTCTCAAGCCACCAGGGCTGAGATTCGAACTACACAGTTGGCCATGTGGGATCCAGCTCCCTTAGCTACTTAGTAGGCTATGGGGTGGTCTCACATGGTGTTTCCAAGGCCCACCAATATTGTGTTACATATCAATACATTTAATCCCCTTTCTGCCTGTGTAATATTCCATTTTCTGTCAAGCCCACAATTTGTTTACCGAGTCGTCTCCAGGACATTTGTAGTCTTTCCTCCCCCCGTTGGCTGTGGCGAGTTGTGCTGGTCTGAACATCGGTGTATGAGGACTTGCTTGATGACCTGTTTCCGGTGACTCTGGCGGTATACCTAGGAGTAGAATTGCTCAGTCGTGTGGTAATTCGATGTTTTACAATTCAAAGAACGTCAGACTTTCCCATGGTAGCTGCCTAGTTTTACATTCATACCATCAATGTATGAGCATCCTTGTCAACATGTTTTTGCCTATTTTTCTTTTTAAGATTTTTATCATAGGGCATGTATGTTTGCTGGAGAGAGAAAAGTGAGAAATCACTTGATTCACAGGGGAGAATGGCCATGCCACGATCCTTTCTCCTCCTTTCTCCTGGGGTTTTGGGCACACATGTGCCTGGCATGATTTTCCAGCCACCAAGGTCTGGGTCTCTGAGCCACCGTAGGCCATGTGAGAATCTAGTGCCTTAACCACCAGACTGCTGGCCCTATTTATTTATTTATTTATTTTTAATGATAGTGTATAGATGCAAGAGAGAGAGAAGCACCCTTAATAGGGTCTTGTCATTTTGCAATCCCTTTTCTTCAACCTTCCAGCTTATTCCATTCCTGGCCCCTGCACGCACACCTGGTGCGTTTTTCAGACTGACCCAGCTGAACCTGTGGTTACCATAAGGCTTCCAGACTTGCAGACCATTTGTATTATGGCTTTTCCATTGCGGAAAGGCCGGGCCTTTCTTTCTCTTTTTTATAAATAGTTATCATTATGAGTGTGTAGTGGTTGCATATGTAACTTTGATGGATCTTGCCAAACTGTCCTCCCTAGACAGTTACATAGAATGTGTATAAGTTATATTCCTGACAATATATGAGTACCTGCTTCTCCACGCTTTTTGCTAACACAGTGTAACATGAGACATTTTGGTGTTGTAAATCTGATAAGTGAAACATAGAATCTTAAGATATTTATTTTTTTTAAAAATTACTTATTTATTTATTCATTCACATATTTTAATTTGACCAAAGAGAGACAGAGAGAGAGGGAGAGAGCGAGAAAGCAAGCCAGCAGGTCCAGGAATTGAACCGTGGTCGGAGATATGGGAGTGTCCAGCGCCTTTGCCACCATGCCACTTGCTGGTCCCCAAGATATTTCTGGTTTTTAAAAAAAGGTTTTTTTGAGAGGTTTTTGCTATCAGAACTATGCGCTCTCCAGAGAGACAGAAACAGAAAGTGAGAAATCACTCTCTCCCCCCCCCCACCAGGAGGGATGGCTACTCCGCAATCCCTTCTCATTCATTCTTCTCTTGAGATCTTGGGCACACTCGCACATGCACCCAGCGTGAGTTTAAGCCATCGGGTCTGGGACTCGAACTGCAGTTGACTATGTGGAAGTCCAGCGACATATCCATTACTTCAACTGCTGGTCTCTGGTTTTTAAAATTTATTGGCTCAGTCATCTTTTCTGTGTGTTTGAACCATTTCTTTTTTTTTTTTTTGGCTAGAAGGTACATGTACCCTTGAGAGGAGAAAGCATCCCCTCAAGGGGAGTGGTCTTGCCACAATCCTTTCTCCAACTCTCGCATCTTTCAGGATTTTGGGTGTGTTTCCAAACACATGTGCCTAGTGTGTTTCTCAAGCTCTTGGGTGAGGCATGTGGAGTCTAGCTGCCTTAACCACCAGGCTGTGGAACCAGACTGAGCCATTTGTATTTCTATCTCTTGTAAATTGTCTCTTTTATCTTTACCCATTTTCTCCTGGAGTGTTTGTCTTTTTCTTTAAAATTTAATTTGTAGGAGCTTAACTTTTGCTTTGGAAATTAGTCCTTTCTCTATGATAGGAGTTGTTGATATTTTCCCTAGTCTGTTTGTCTTTATTTATTTATTTATTTTAGGGAGATTTTTGTTATAGGTCATGTGCCCTTACTGGAGAGACAGAGACAGAAAGCAAGAAATCACCCCAGCAGGGAGCGTGGCCATGCTACAATTCCCTCTCCTCCATTCTCCTTTCAGGGTTTTGGGCTTGCACACACACATGCCTGGCATGAGTTCAAGCCTCCAAGTCTGGGACTTGAACTATGGTCAGCAATGTGGGAGTCAGCAACATAACCACTCTACCATCCACTGCTCCCCCCAGTCTATCAGTGAATAGTTGACTGTCTACCGTATGCTCTGTCATAGGTGCTGAAATCGTACTCTTTTTTTATTTTTCTTTTTCTGAAGAGGTTTTTGCTATAGGGCACGTGTGCTCGTCAGACAGACAGAGAGAGAGAGAGAGACAGAATGCAAGAAATCACCCCCCAGGGGGATGGCCATGCCACAGTCCTTTCTCCTCCATTCTCCTCTCGGGATCTTGGGCATGCATGCACACGTGCCTGGCGTGAGTTCTAAGCCACTGGGTCCGGGACTTGAACCGCGGTCGACTACGTGGGAGTCCAGCGACATAGCCATTACGCTAACTGCTAGTCCCTGAAATCGTACTCTTAAACAGGAAACTGAAGGCTGCCTTCCTGGGATTTGTTTTACTGGGGAAGTGGGGAAACAATACACAAATAATCAGAATGATTTCCAAATAATTTCCAGTTATGGCCCATACTTGGAACTAAAACAATATCACTATGGTAACAGGTGGATATGGAGTGGGGGTCTACTGATATAAAAGCTGAGTGGAAGGACCAGCCCCATAACAACATTTGAGGGAATCAGATCCCTTCCTGCCAAACAGATTGGAATCACTTGAAAAACTCTCCAGGTGCATGTGTGGCATGCTCAGGATCTGACAGGATTGGGAAATGGAGGAGAAAGAATTGTGGTGTATGGGGCCAGTAGGTGGCATGGTGGTTAAGGTGCTGGACTCCTATGAGGCTAACCTCTGGTTCAAGTCCCAGAGCTGGCAGCTTGCTTTCTCATGTTCTCCATCCCCTCTCTGTCTCTGACATTAGCACACATGTGCCCTCTAGGAAATTAAAATAATGATAATAATAAATAATATATCAAGCTAAATAAATAATTGAAAAATGGTATTATGGCCCTATCAGGGAGTGATTTCTCATTTTCTCCCTCACTCCCTCTCCTTCTCTCCTGCTTCTTTTTTTCTCTGGTGAGAAATTCTATGGTATTTGAAGGGGAAAAAAACCTGAGTAGAAGTTCGATCTCTTAGCCTAGTGGTTAATGAAGCTGATTCCACACGGCTGACTGTGGTTCACGTCCCATCTCAGAGGTTTAAAAAACACAGCAGGCACATGTGGTGCTTGCTCCTAACCCCGCAGGATGGAGAAACGGAGGAGAAAGGATTGCAGCATGACCATGCCCCATTGGGATTTGCTGTATCCCTCTCTCTCTGTCCCTCTGGTGAGCACATGCATCCTCTGACAAATAAAAAAAAAAACCCAAAAAACAAAAAACTGAGTGGGAGATATTTGAGGTCAGACACAAAGGTGAGGTGGAATGAGCTATTCAAATTGTTGGGGAAGAGAAAGTGAAAGCCCCCTTGGCTGGTCGCACTGAGCACGTTTGGGGCAGTGAAAGGCCAGTGGGGCTGGGTGTAGCGACCAGGGAAGAAGGACACCAGGTGACACTGGGGTGGGGCAGAGGCCAGACCCCAAGCTAGCAGGTTGGAAGGAAGAGCACAGGTTTGTATTTATTTATTTATTTAAACTATTAGGCGTGTGTGCTTGCTGAAGAGAAAAAGAGAGAGAGAAAGCACCCCACACACACACCCTCAAGGGGATGATCATGCCCCAGTCTCCTCTCAGATTTTGGGCATGCACACACATGTACTCCATGTGTTTCTCAAGCTGCCAGGTCCAGGACTTGAACCACATGGTCAGCCATATGGGATCCAGCTGCCCTAACACCATGCCACCAGCTGGCTCCAAATACAGATTTTATACTAAGCTTTTGAGAAGGCTTTGGAAGGTAATAAGCAGTAAATTTATTATACCCAAAGTTATTTTTCCAAGTCATTAACATTATTTGAGAAGTTTTAGTGACTGCTTGTTATTTCAAAGTTGTGTATAAAACATCATTTATTAAATTCACTGTTGGAAAATTGTATTTTATTTTTTCAGTTTATTTTTTCCATGAGCAAGAGAGACAGTACTACCAATAGTGTTCCTTTTTTTTTTTTATACTTCATAATAGAGGGCATGTGTGTGTGTGAGAAAGAGAGAGAGGGAAAAAGAGGGAGGAAAGAGTATTCTATGCAAGGTCTATGGTTCCCTTCCTCCAGTCCTCTAGCCGAGGAACCCCCAATTGCCGGGCTGAAGACTTGAACCAGTGGTCAGCAGGCAAGGGAATGAGGCTTTGAGGACTGGTCTATAGATGCGGCTGCTCCCTATGGATTGCTCTGCATCTGGGCTCTGCCTCCTGTGGATCAGCAGTAGTGTTGGACTCTTGCGTGGTGTGATTGTCTCATTTCATACTGTGATGTCGTAGTGGTGGAAATGGCTGTATGGTGGGTGTGGTGCACTGGGGTCATCCTGGGACCCGCCTCCCCTGCTTTCCTGCCTCCCTGTCTGGAGGAATTGTTTTCCATTAGACCGGTCCCTGTTGCTGGAAAGGTTGGGCACCGCTGCTCTAGCACATTGGGACTTGGGCACCAGTGTATTTCAGTTCACCTGGCCAGGGATTCGAATCGTGGTCACCAGGTGGGAGCTAGCTTCTCTTCAGCAGTCATCGTCATTATCGCTGTACCACAGAGCTGGTCTCCCAACAGGGTCTTTTTTTTTTTTTTTAAGAATTATTTTATTTAACTTTATTTATTTTATTTTGATTAGAGAGGGACAGAGCAAGATGGGAGAGGGGAGTGAAAAAGCAAGCCGCTAGGTCCAGGACTCAAACCACGGTTGGCCATGTGGGAGTCCAGTGCTTTAATCACCAGCACCAACTCCAACAGCATCTTGATTTCACAGTTCACAGCCTATAGCCAGCCCTTTATCAGGAGCAAGTGAATGCCCAGCATAATCAGGGAGGTCTCTCCAGTACTGAGAACATTCCTGTGTGGGATCACCCCAAAGAACATTGTGTTTGGAGCCAGCAGGTGGCGTAATGGTTACATCAGTGGATTCCCATGTAGTTGCCTGCGGTTTGAGTCCAGGACCCAGTGACTTGAAACTCAAAAGCCATATATGTGTGTGCCCCCCAGAAGCGAATGGAGGAGAAGGGATTGCAGTGTGGCCATCCTTCCCTCCTAGGGGTGATTTCTTGCTTTCTGTCTCTCTCATGAGTGCATGTGCCCTATAGCAAAAATCTCTTTTAAAAAAAAAAAGAAAAGAATAAACATGGTTTTACCCCTGTGGCACTGTCTGGCCCTCTGGAAATTGTTATTTTTTTCCCCTCTAATTGTTAATCTTATAAAAGCTTGATGAGCAAATTCATAATTTTGATTGCCTTCTTAGGCCATTTTCCTACAAGTAGTTTTTATGAGCAGTTTTTAAAGGCGTTTGATATATGAAATTCAACAGCCCTCTTGTGTGTGCTTTGATGTTACAGAGTGTGTTAACGACAACTACTGGTTTGGGAGAGACAAAAGCTGTGAATATTGCTTCGATGGACCCCTGCTGAAAAGAACAGAAAAATATAAGACATATAGCAAGAAACACTTTCGCATTTTCAGGGTAGGTGACAAATAACTGTATTCATGGGAGCTGGTAGTCTAGTCTTTGCTCTTAGATATCTTCCCACTATAAATCCCCACTGTTACAACTTTGAAATAAAATGTTCCCGATTTTAGGAAATGGGCCCTAAAAACTCTTACATTGCATACATAGAAGATCACAGCGGGAATGGAACCTTTGTAAATACGGTTTTTTTTTAGGGAAAGGAAAACGCCGTCCTTTGAATAACAATTCTGAGATTGCACTTTCACTGTGTGGAAATAAAGGTAATTTATTATTTTATGGTTACTGGAATGTTTTCCCCTTCCCATGTAAAGGGAAATGGCATTACAGAGAAATTGACATTAGAGTATGATTTCAGAAAGGGAAATTAAGTTAACATTCAAGATTTAACCCTACTCGGGCCCCAGGTGGCATGGTGGTTAAGGTGTTAGACGCCCACATGACTAACTATGGTTTGAGTCCCAGACCTGGTGGTTTGCTTTTTCACTTTCCCTCTCTCTGAAGTGAGTACATGTGCCCTAAAACAAATTTTAAAATAATAATAATAATAATAAAAAATACAAATTAAAGAGGCCAGCAGGTGGTGTGGTGGTTAGGGTGCTGGACTCCCACATGGCTGACCATGGTTGGAGACCTGGACCTGGCAGCTTGCTTTCTCACTTTCCCTCTCTCTCTTTCTCTCTCTGGTGACAATAGCAAATTAAATAATAATAATAATAAGTAATAATAATAAATAAAATTAAATAATTCTTTAATAAAAAGAGAAGATTTAACCCCACTCATCTAAGTGCATTTTAAAATTATGACAAAGTTTGGGACTAAATAATAACATGTTGGTTAAGACAGCTGGACTCCCACATGACTGACTGCAGTTTGAGTCCTGGACCTGGCAGTTTGAAAATTGTGGTGTGTGTGTGTGTGTGTGTGTGTGTGTGCATGCCCAAAATTCCAGTAGAATAATGGAGGAGAAGGGATTGTGATATGGCCATCATCTTGGCGGGGGTGATGGATTTCTAACTTTCCCTCTCACTGTTTCTTCTGTCTTTTTTTTGGAGAGTGCATGTGCCCTAAGACAAAATCTTTTTTTTTGTTTTAAGAGGTTTTTGCTATAGGGCACATGCACTTGCTAGAAAGACAGAGACAGACAGAAAGTGAGCAATCACCCCCCGGAGGGATGGCCACACCACAATCTCTTCTCTCGGGATCTTGGGCACACATGCACACACGCGCCCGGTGCGAGTTTAAGCCACCCGGTTCTAAACTGAGGTCGACTACCTGGGAGTCCAGCGACCTAGCCATTATGCCAACAGCTGGTCCTGGTAAATCTTTAAAAAAAAGAAAATTTATGACTAAGTTCTACCCAGAGGCCCAGCTTAGGGGTCACAGTAGGTAATGTCCCAGGTTGCAGCACTGGAAGCCACATGGCCAGCTGCTTGTGTGGATCTGCTGCCTGGTTGACCTGAAACACACTAGATGTATGTAGGCACCGAGGATCTGGAGGACTGGAGGAATGGGGTCACAGTGGGATGAGACCCTGTCAGGGTGCCCCTCTATGTTTCCTAAATGTGTATGCATATGCTCTTATCATGAATAAAAAGAAAAAATAGGAGGGCCAAAAGATGCTGTGGAGGTTAAGGTGACTGGATCCCACATGGCCTACTGTGTGACTAAACCCTGGACTCAGAGCATGCTGGGAAGTGTGTGTGTGTGTATGTCTGTCTGTCTGTCTGACTGACTAACGTCCTGAAAGGAGAAATAGAGGAGGGATTGTGACATGGCCTTTCCACATGGGGGTGCTTTCTCCCCTGTCCCTTTGATCCCCCTGAGTGCATACGCCCTCTGACAAAATTAAAAAATAAAAAACAACTACTATGGTAATATGGTATCTAATGTTTCTTAAAATATTTACATTCCTAGAATATTTTTTTCTGGCCTCAGACAAACTGGTTTTTGGTTGTGAGCATGTGGTAATCTTCAGGATTCCTCCCTGCCCCCTCCTTTTTATAAAAGATTTATTTAAAAATGTTTATTTATTATCATTATTTTAAAATTTGACCAGAGAGAGACAGGGACAGAGAGAGAGAAGCAAAGTGATAAAGCTGCCAGGTCCAGGACTCAAACTACGGTTGACCATGTGGAAGTTCAGCGTCTTAACCACCACACCACTTGCCAACTTCCCTTTCTTGAATTTGCCAGAGGGCACATGTGCTTGTTGGAGAGAGAGAAAGAAAGAAAGTGAGATAGCACCTCCTATGGGGGATGGCCATGCCATAATTCCTTCTCCCTTTCTCTTCTTTGGAATTTCTGGGCTCATGCACACATGCCTGGTATGTTTTTCAAGCCACGGGGTCTGGGACATGAACTGTACTGCCCGCCGTGGAAGGTCTGGCCACATTAACCACCACACTGCCAGGTAGCCCCTGCGTAAGTATTTTTGGTTAGTTCAGTTGATTAATATTGTGAGGTCTAGGAATATACAAAGCAGGTATGTTAAGGAATGTCTGTCCTATTGTGTATGGTTCCCTGCAGGAAGACATTTGATTGTTATGTTTTAAGGGCTTCATACTAGCCTAGCTGAACAATTCCTTCAGTGTTACATGTTAAATGTAATTACAAACAATTGTCTTTGATTCAGGTAATCACTAAATGTTAGAATCAGTGATCTTCTCTTTATTGATTCATTTAATGAAGCCTATTTCTGTCACTTTTTTCTTCAGTTTTTGTGTTTTTTGATCTGACTGTAGATGATCAATCAGTTTATCCTAAAGAATTAAGAGATGAATACATCATGTCAAAAACTCTTGGAAGGTAAATGACTTTTTTCTTTCATAAATTATTTGTATTTCAATTTTTAACTATATGTATAAATGGTTAGATTTTCATTCCTGGTTTTATAAGATTCATTATTTGTTTCTAATATATTTGTAGGACACCTCTTTGTGCAAGGTATGTTATTGAATTATTTGACAATGAGCAGTTGACAGGAATATTTTCTCCTTATAAATTTTATTGGTGATAACTTCTTAAAAGCAGCTTTATTGAGCTATAACTCATTATCATATAATTCCTCTATTTAAAATACATAATTTAGTGATTTTAGTATATTCATGGAGTTCTGAAACCATAGATCCCCACAATCAATTTTTGAATATTTTCATCACTTAATAAAAACACACAGTTAGTTCATTCCTGTGCTGTTCATAATTTGTGCCACCTTGGGACATAAAATGAAACTGTACAGAGTTCTCAAAATGTTTGGTCACAGGACCCCTTACGTTCTGAAAAATTACTGTTGACTCTAAGGATAATTTGTCTATGTTGCCTAAATCTATTAATATTTACTGTATTAGCAATTGAAGTTGAGATTTTTAAAAAATATTTATTAATTCATTAAATAAGCTTGGATGTTAAGTAACATTTTTATGAAAAATAATTTATTAAAAAAATGGTTAGTGAGGGAAGAAGCAACAGGAAGGCCTAAGATAGAAGGTAGAAATTGCTACCCTATGTGGGCTGGTGCCATTCTGCCCCTCGCCCATCCAGGAGCACAGGGAGGCCTAGGCCACTTGGCCTGAGCTCTTCAGCCAGACCCCTGCCCAGCCTGCTGTGGGAGAAGGGCCTGCTCTGGCCTGTGCACTGTGCAAGTGCAGTGTGCAAAGTGACCTGTCACCTTACATCCTGCCTGTCCAGCTCAGCCTCAGCCACATCGGGAGCATGAACGATTGGGGTATATGGGAACCCAATCTTTGAAAATAGGAGCTTCTAGAGGAATTTTTTCCCCATGACCCCCTTCCTCCCCAGCAGTAAAAGGAGAGAAACTCCCTCTGGAATCCTAACCCCAAAACTCCTACTGAGAATTCCATGTTCCCAGCCACAGCCGAGGAGGGAAACTGGTACAGAGCTAACACACTTTGTAGGGAAGTGCATGAGCACATAGCTATGGAAATTTGCTCCAAAGAAGTAGGAAGAAGGGAATATATCATCAGATAACTAAAAGTCAAAGCAGAGGGGCCAGCAGATGGTGGTTAAGGTGCTGGACCCCCCATGGTCTGAGCCCCACTTCCAGTCAATAGAAAAATCTCCAGGTGCAACATGTACATGCCCAAAAATCCCAAGAGGAAAATGAAAGAGAAAGAATTGCATGGCTTTCCCCCTGTGGGGAGTGGTTTCTCAGCCCCCCACCCCAGCACACAAGCCCTATGGCTGAAACCTTTAAAAAAAAAAAAGAAAAAGCATAGCCTCAAGAAATAGGAGAAAATCAGGAAATACCTCCTCCCCTCTAAAGAACTCTTTACCAGGACCAGCAGTTAGCGTAATGGCTATGTCGCTGGACTCCCACGTAGTAGACCGCGGTTCGCGTACCAGACCCGGTTGCTTAAACTCACTCTGGGCGCCTGTGCGTGCGTGCCCAAGAGCCTGAGAGGAGAATGGAGGAGAAGGGACTGCGGCGTGACCATCCCCCCTGGCGGGTGATTTCTCTCTTTCTGTCTCTCTGTCTCTCTCTGTCTCTCTGGTGAGCGCACGCGCCCTATAGCGGAAACCTCTCCAAAACAAAACAAAACAAACAAACAAAAAAGAACTCTTTACCAACAATGGATAAAATAAGAGATTACAGAAATGTCAGAAAAAATTTCAGAATACAAAACTAAATGAGATGCAAGAGAAAACAAAACAACTGATTCCAGGAGATCAGAAAATCCCTTTGTGACTTGAAGGAGGAATTCTGTAGGGGGATGGACACATTGAAAAAGAATTAGAACTTTTGGAGATAAAGGATCTGATTCTGGAAATCAAAACTCCCTCCACCCTCAAAAATATCAATAGCAGATTAGCCCACGCAGAAGAAAGAATCTGACATTGAAGGCAAGACCTCTGATTTAGTCCAAGTAATCAAAAGAATAGAAGAATGACTATTAAAAATGAGGACAATAGATGGGAAATCCTAGAAACTGTTAAACAGCGAATAGCCACTTAATAGGTATTTCAGAAGGCAAAGAGACAAATAAAGACATAGAAAACATCTTTAATGATAAATTAGCTGAAAACTTTCTAAATTTAGAGAGACATGCAGACACATCCAAATCTAGGAAATACAAAAGACAAATAAATATATCTAAAACACAAGAAAATCCTCACCAAGGTATGTCATAGCCAAATTGGTAAAACTTAAAGACAAATATTCAAATAATGGCAAGAGAGAAACACCCGGTTACTTACAAAAATGACCTTATGTATGCAACTAACATTGGACCTCCCAACTGAAACAATACAGGCAAGAAAAGAATGGGAAGACATAATTTTTTTTTTAAGAAATTGTTTTATTTTTGGGGCTGGCAGGTGGCGTGGTGGCTGAGGGCGCTGAACTCCCACATAGGCAACCACAGTTCGAGTCCCGGACCTGGTGGCTTGCTTTCTCACTTTCGCTCTCTTTCTCTCTCACCAAATTAAAATAAATAAGCAAATAAAATAAAGTTAAATAATTCTTTTAAAAAATTATTTTATTTTTAATTTTCAAATAATTATTTTATGTAACTATTTATTTCCTTATTTTAATTTGACTAGAAAGGGATAGAGTGAGAGAGAGAGGGAAAGTGAGAAAGTAAGCCACCAAGTCTGGGACTTGAACTGTGGTTGGCCATGTGGGAGTTCAGCGCCCTTAACCACCTTTCCACCTGTAAGCCATCACATCTGGAACTTGAATCACAACCATCCACGTGTGAGTCCAGCACCTTAACCCACCACCTGCTGGCCTAGGAAGATATATTTAAAACTCTGAAAGCATAACAGTTTTAGCAGAGAATATTGTATTTTGAAAGATTATCTTTCAAATGGGAGGGAGAAATAAAATCATTCCCAGATAAGAAAAATACTGAAATTCACCAAACCTGAACCAGTTCTTCAGAAAATACTTAAGGGAATATTACATCAGGAAAAGTAAAGGGAGATAAATATTGGTAAAAATAAGAGAAAACAAAACAACTAGACCAAAAGGACAAGCCCACGCATATCAATAATATTGAATGTCAGGATTCAGTTTCCCAACTAAAAGACTAAAAATGCAGATTCAACTGTTTTTTTCAAGAATTGTTTATGTATGTATTTATGTAATTCCATTTGTTATTATTATTTTTCAATTTCACCAGGGAGAGACAGAGAGAGGGAGAAAAGAAAACCGAAAAAGTAAGCCACCACATCCGGGACTTGAACCACGGTTGGCTGTGTGGGAATCCAGTGCCCTTAACCATCCTGCCACCTGCCTGTCCACATTCGACAATTAAATTAAATTAATTAATTAATTATTTTTTAGAGAGGTTTTTGCTATAGGGTGCGTGTGCTTGCCAGAAAGACAGAGAGACAGTGAGAAATCACCCCCCAGGGGGATGGCCATGCCGCAATCCCTTCTCCTCCATTCTCCTCTTGGGATCTTGGGCACGCATGCACATGCGCCCGGCATGAATTTAAGCCACCGGGTTCGGAGCTTGAACTGTGGTCGAATACATGGGAGTTCAGCGACATAGCCATTACACTAACTGCTGGTCCCAGATTATAAACTCTTAATCTTCCACAGTCCTCTACATGGAAATTATAAATTCTTCTTTCATTGGCTATGTTAAGATTATTTTTGTTTTTGGGGACCAGGAGTTGGCATGGTGGTTTAGGTGCTGAACACTCCTACATGACCAACCATGGTTCGAGTCCTGGACCTGGTGACTTGCTTTCTCTTACTTTTCTAATCTCTCTATGTGTGTGTGTCTCTCTGGACAAATTAAAGTAAACGAATGAATTAATAAAATAAATAATTCTTTAAATTAAAAGAAGATTATCTTTATTTTCAAAAAATCCATCCTTATTTAAGAAACTTTTTTTAAAATTATTTTGTTTAACTTTATTTATTTATTTCAATATGACCAGAGAAGGACAGAGCAAGAGTGAGAAAGAGAGGGAAAGTGAGCAAGCAAACCGCCAGGTCCAGAACTCGAACTGTGATTGGCCATGTGGGAGTCCAGCGCCCTTAACCACCATGCCACTTGCAGGCCCCTGTTTAAAAAACTTTGTTGTCTGATTTTTAGTCAACTTGTTTTTCTTTAGAACTGTATTTCACAGTAAAAGAATGGCACAGACAATTCAGTACCTACTTCCAGAATGACCAGGGAAGGGGGTTTGAATGTTCACAACATAATATAATTTAAATGTTGATGGTGGTGAATATGTTAATTATTATATATGTATATAAAATACACACACACATATATACACACATATCACACACACATATATATATATATATACACACACATTTTTTTATATATATATATATATACATACACACACACTTTTTAAAGAGGTTTTTGCCTTAGGGTGCATGTGCTTACAAAACAGAGATAGACACAGTGAGAGAGAAAGTGAGAAATCTGCCCTACCCCCCACCCCCCTGGGGGTGGCCATGCCACAGTCCCTTCTCCTCCATTCTCCTCTTTGGATTTTGGGCTCACACACACACGCGCCTGGTGTGAGTTGTAAGCCACCGGGTCCAGTGATGTAACCATGATACTATCTGATGATCCCAATTTTATTTGTTATTATTGTTTTTTAATTTGACCAGAGTGAGACAGAGAGAGAGAAAGGCAAAGTTAAAAAGCAAGCCACCAGGTCTGGTACTTGAACCGCAGTCGGCATGTGGGAGTCCAGTGCCTTAACCATTTCGTCACCTGCCAACCTCCCTAACAGAGTCTTGTCATAAAGATCTACCTGAGCCTTCAGCCAGCCTCAGATCATGGGCAGGCATGTGCCCAATATACTCAGAGATGTCTCTGGACTAGAACTGGGGGCCTTCCCATGTCGAACTGCCTTGCAGAGCATTTCATTTCACTTCTGCACCGTTGTCTAACCCTGCAAATCTTTCTGACATTTGGCTTACTTGGAAGATGGCTATATTCTGATATTTGTCCTTTCATTCAGTTTGTTGTGATGTTACATGCTATGTAGCCTCTAGAAAACACCACTGTACACTCATGAGAGAGAATGGAAAAGACAAATCATGTCTTGATGTCATTCTGAAAATGTGGATGCCCTGCAAGATCTTGGCGTCCTTTAGGGGTTGCCCAGTGCAAGTAAGAACTGCTCCCTAAGGCAAATATTGACTATAGGCTTATCACATTACACAAGGTCTTTTACCCAATTCTCCCAATCTGCAAAAGCCTTTCTATTTATTTATTTATTTTGGAGAGATTTTTGCTGTAGGGCATGTGCTCTTGCTGGAGAGACAGAGAGAGTGAGAAATCACTTCTCAGGGTAGTTGGCCATGCCACAGTCCCTTCTCCTCCACTCTCCTCTTGGGATTTTGGGCACACAAGCACACATGCCTGGCATGAGTTTCAAGCCCACTGGGTCTGGGAATCGAACTGCGGTTGGCCATGTGGGAGTCCAGCATCTTACACTACACAACCTGCTGGGCCCATCTATTCATTATTTTTACAAACATGAAAGTAGAATATGCATAGAAAGACCTAGTCATCTATTCTTGCCACATAGAATCAAGCATAGCATCCCTTTTACAACTATCTTTGGGAGAAATTTTAGTTAATGGGTATAAAATTCAGTAACTGATTATGTTTCCATCTTTGCTTTGGCTGATTAGAAGCTTGCAGCCAAATATATGTCCCTTTTAAAGAAATATATGGGACTCTAGTGGTTTTTGATGATTTAACACAAATCCTTTAACTTGTAGCAGGTGACAGAAACTTAATTCAAATGAGTCACGTAAGAAATGAAATTTGCTGGCGCTTGCAGCTGGGAAATACAGGGGCATAGCCAACTTCAGGCGTGACTGGATCTAGGAGTTCATTTGGGCATTATTTCACAGTTGTTTGAGTTCTCATCGTCTGGTTAACTTTATCTTTGGCTGAGTCCAAGGGCTCCCAGTGTCACTAGGATTCTAGCTCCGTCTCTTGATTCAGCCACTCTTGCCTTCCTTTACAAATGCTCTCTCTGAGTGGCAGGAAAAAATGGCTACCAGGAGTCCCAGATCTACATTTTTTTTGTAGAAATGCCAGCAGAGAGGACTGTTTCTCTCAGCAACAGCATATGATTCCAAGGGAAACCCTGATTGACTCAGTTATAGTGAGGAATCTGCTGGGGTCCCAGGAGTGGGCGTTTTCCTTCTGTAGATACCCTACTAGAACGTCACAGCCTCAGGGAAGACGTCCCAGGCAAACAGTGACTATTTCCAGTAGGGGAATTGGAAACTGCTTTGAGCTGATTTGAAAAAATAATAGTGACAAGCCAAGGGCATACTTGTGGTCTCAACTACTTGGGAGGCTGAGACAGGAGGATGGTGAATTTGAGTCCAGTTTGGGCAGCATAGATCCTGCCCCTTAAAAAGAAAGTTCCATGGGGCCAGCAGTGAGACCCTGTCCTTTAAGAAGAAAGTTACACGGGGTCAGCACGTGGCGTGAAGGTTAAGGCGCTGGATCCCAAAGAGCCAGCTGGGCAGTTTCAGTCCTGGACCTGGCAGCTTGAAAATCCTTCTGGGCATGTGTACGTGCAGAACATTGTGAATATACCTCAAGTATACCTCTGAATGGTATACTTGGAAATGATTACTGTGGTAAATGATATTTTCTTAATTACCAGAGGGGGCACGTGCTCTCCAGAAAGATAAGGAGAATGTACCTTACAACACCGCAGTGGGGTCACATTGCAATCTCTTCTCCTCCATTTCTCCATCCTGTTGGGTTTTGGGGCATGCATGCAAACAGGCCCAGGGAGTTTTATAAGCCAACTGGGGTGGGATTGGAACTGCAGTGGGCCGTGTGGGATCCAGTTCCCTTAACCACTGTGCCACAACACTGTCCCATACAATGGTGAATTTTATGTATATTTAAATAAGAAAGATGTCTTTGCAAACACCTCCCTTTACCCCCTCAAAACCCATAAGTTAAAAAGTAGCTTGTTTCAGTCAGGATAAGGGTATTAATACTGTAGTGGCTTTTACCTTAGACTGACTCAAACTTTGGAGAACAGAACCTTTAGCAACGTCTTGGGTAGCATTCCTCGTCCTTTAGTAATATCTCAATTAATTGCAAGTCTTTGTAGGAGATTGCTGCAAGCAGGTTGATTGTCTTAGGTCCTCGGAAAGGTCATGACATATTTTTGCATAGAAAAACAGAAAAAGACATGACTTTTCCAATGACCCAATGTATTTCTTTTGGCATCTTTGGTATTCTGACATAATTTTGGATGCAGTGCGTGGTATGTGGTATTGACTTCTAATTCACTTTCCTTTGAAGATAGAGAATAAGAAAGAGACATTTTCAATGAAAGTAATTTATTTTGCAGATTCTAGTTCTTGTAACTTCTTTTTTTAAAATAATTATTTTATTTAACTTTGTTTATTTTAATATGATCAGAGAAGGACAGACTGAAAGAGACAGGGAAAGTAAGAAAGCAAGCCGCCAGGTCTGGGACTTGAACTGTAGTTGGTCCTGTGGGAGTCCAGCACCATTTTTTCTTTTTCTTTTTTTTTTTTTGAGAGGTTTTGCTATAGGTCGTGTGCACTCATCAGACAGACGAGACAGAAAGTGAGAAATTACCCCCCAGGGGGACGGCCACTCCACAATCCCTTCTCCTTCATTCTCCTCTCTGGGTCTTGGGCATGCACACACACGCGCCTGGTGTGAGTTTAAGCCACCGGGTCTGGGACTTGAACTGCGGTTAACTACATGCGAGTTCAGCGATGGTAGCCATTTCGCCATCTGCTGCTCTCTGGGAATCCAGCGCCCTTAACCACCACGCCACCTGCTGGCCCTTAGTTCTTGTAACTTCTTTGGGGTAGTTACAGGGGAGACTGTCCTATTTGATCGTTGGTTCTCTGATCTCTGGAACCAGTAACTCCTCTCTCATTTGTTCTTAGTGTCTGAGAATTTCATAATCTAGGACTGTAGTTAAACATGTCTGTGTCACTCAGCTCAAAAGTGGAATTTACAGCCGATTCAGTGTTGGAACTCCCAAATACATGTAGGCCCTGGGCATTTTACACTAGTGAGGTTTTAGATGGGCCATCTTTTTTTTTTTTAAGGATTATTTAATCTAATTTATCATTATTTGAAATTTGCTACAGGGTATGTGTGCTCACCAGAGAGAGTGAGCGAGAGAAGGAAAGTGAGAAAGCAAGCTGCCAGGGACTTGAACTTCAGTTGCCAATGTGGGAGACCAGTGTCTTAACCACCATGCCACCTGCTGGCTTCTATATGGACCATGTTTAACTTATAGTAGTTGGGGCAGACTCAGAAGAAGTAGGTCATGGTTAAAAACACTCTGACAATAACTGTCTATGTTTTTTCCTCTAGTGGTGCCTGTGGGGAGGTGAAGCTGGCTTTCGAGAGGAAAACGTGCAAGAAAGTAGCCATAAAGATTATCAGCAAAAGGAGGTTTGCTATTGGCTCAGCCAGAGAGACTGTAATTTTTGCTATAGGATGCGTGCACTCGCCAGAAAGACAGAGAGAGACAGAGATAGAAAGCGAGAAATCACCCCCCCAGGGGGGATGGCCACGCTGCAATCCCTTCTCCTCCATTCTCCTCTTGGGATCTTAGGCATGCACACACGCATGCCCAGCATGAATTTAAGCCACTGGGTCCGGGACTCAAACCGTGGTCAGCTATGGGAGTTCAGCGACATAGCTATCATGCTAACTGCTGGTCCCCAAGTCAACACCGCAGTGGGGTCACATTGCAATCTCTTCTCCTCCATTTCTCCATCCTGTTGGGTTTTGGGGCATGCATGCAAACAGGCCCAGGGAGTTTTATAAGCCAACTGGGGTGGGATTGGAACTGCAGTGGGCCGTGTGGGATCCAGTTCCCTTAACCACTGTGCCACAACACTGTCCCATACAATGGTGAATTTTATGTATATTTAAATAAGAAAGATGTCTTTGCAAACACCTCCCTTTACCCCCTCAAAACCCATAAGTTAAAAAGTAGCTTGTTTCAGTCAGGATAAGGGTATTAATACTGTAGTGGCTTTTACCTTAGACTGACTCAAACTTTGGAGAACAGAACCTTTAGCAACGTCTTGGGTAGCATTCCTCGTCCTTTAGTAATATCTCAATTAATTGCAAGTCTTTGTAGGAGATTGCTGCAAGCAGGTTGATTGTCTTAGGTCCTCGGAAAGGTCATGACATATTTTTGCATAGAAAAACAGAAAAAGACATGACTTTTCCAATGACCCAATGTATTTCTTTTGGCATCTTTGGTATTCTGACATAATTTTGGATGCAGTGCGTGGTATGTGGTATTGACTTCTAATTCACTTTCCTTTGAAGATAGAGAATAAGAAAGAGACATTTTCAATGAAAGTAATTTATTTTGCAGATTCTAGTTCTTGTAACTTCTTTTTTTAAAATAATTATTTTATTTAACTTTGTTTATTTTAATATGATCAGAGAAGGACAGACTGAAAGAGACAGGGAAAGTAAGAAAGCAAGCCGCCAGGTCTGGGACTTGAACTGTAGTTGGTCCTGTGGGAGTCCAGCACCATTTTTTCTTTTTCTTTTTTTTTTTTTGAGAGGTTTTGCTATAGGTCGTGTGCACTCATCAGACAGACGAGACAGAAAGTGAGAAATTACCCCCCAGGGGGACGGCCACTCCACAATCCCTTCTCCTTCATTCTCCTCTCTGGGTCTTGGGCATGCACACACACGCGCCTGGTGTGAGTTTAAGCCACCGGGTCTGGGACTTGAACTGCGGTTAACTACATGCGAGTTCAGCGATGGTAGCCATTTCGCCATCTGCTGCTCTCTGGGAATCCAGCGCCCTTAACCACCACGCCACCTGCTGGCCCTTAGTTCTTGTAACTTCTTTGGGGTAGTTACAGGGGAGACTGTCCTATTTGATCGTTGGTTCTCTGATCTCTGGAACCAGTAACTCCTCTCTCATTTGTTCTTAGTGTCTGAGAATTTCATAATCTAGGACTGTAGTTAAACATGTCTGTGTCACTCAGCTCAAAAGTGGAATTTACAGCCGATTCAGTGTTGGAACTCCCAAATACATGTAGGCCCTGGGCATTTTACACTAGTGAGGTTTTAGATGGGCCATCTTTTTTTTTTTTAAGGATTATTTAATCTAATTTATCATTATTTGAAATTTGCTACAGGGTATGTGTGCTCACCAGAGAGAGTGAGCGAGAGAAGGAAAGTGAGAAAGCAAGCTGCCAGGGACTTGAACTTCAGTTGCCAATGTGGGAGACCAGTGTCTTAACCACCATGCCACCTGCTGGCTTCTATATGGACCATGTTTAACTTATAGTAGTTGGGGCAGACTCAGAAGAAGTAGGTCATGGTTAAAAACACTCTGACAATAACTGTCTATGTTTTTTCCTCTAGTGGTGCCTGTGGGGAGGTGAAGCTGGCTTTCGAGAGGAAAACGTGCAAGAAAGTAGCCATAAAGATTATCAGCAAAAGGAGGTTTGCTATTGGCTCAGCCAGAGAGACTGTAAGTACCTATTTGTGGTGGTCCCCTTCTCTTGACATGCCTTTGTAACTTTCCCAAGTGGTCTTTTTTTTTTTTTTTTTTTTTTGAGAGGTTTTTGCTATAGGATGCGTGCACTCGCCAGAAAGACAGAGAGAGACAGAGATAGAAAGCGAGAAATCACCCCCCCAGGGGGGATGGCCACGCTGCAATCCCTTCTCCTCCATTCTCCTCTTGGGATCTTAGGCATGCACACACGCATGCCCAGCATGAATTTAAGCCACTGGGTCCGGGACTCAAACCGTGGTCAGCTATGGGAGTTCAGCGACATAGCTATCATGCTAACTGCTGGTCCCCAAGTAATCTTTTCAATCTCAGCTTTTTTTTCAGCAGGAACTAACTGCTCGGACTTGAGTTCATGAATACAGGTAGAGCATCTCTGACCCAAGAACCCCAAATCTGAAATGCTCCAAAATCCAAAACTTTTTCTTAAATTCACGATAGGGCTGTCGCTGTAGACCAGTGGTTAAGGGAGTAAGATCCTACATGGCTGAATATCCTACATAGTTTGAATCCTGGCCCTGATAGCTTTAAAAACAAGCCAGGCATGTGTGCATGTGTGCCCAAAGTCCAGATGGAGAAGGGATTGTGGTGTGACTGTGACCCATTTCGGGGGTACCTTTTCCCTGTCTCCCTCTTTCTGTTTCTCCTTGGTGAGCCCACTTGCTTTCTGGCAGTTTAAAATAAAATAAGTTCATGATGGAGGGTGTGCATGCACATTTGACAGAGCAAGAGAAAGTGGACCCTCCCTCCATCAGATCTGATCTCATCACAATTCCCTTCTTCCAATCCTCCAGTCTGTTGGATCTCAGGCCCTCACACGTGTGTATGACGTGTTTCATGCTGACCAGGCCAGGGACTCAAACTGCGGTCACCCTGTGGGATCTAGCTTTTCTCTAGCCGTGCAGTATTGCTGCACCACGAAGCTAGCCCCAATCTAAAATTTTGAGAGTGCTGACATGACACCAGTTGTAGAAAATCCCACACCTGACATTACATGACCGTTCGTACTCCAAACACTACAAGACAAAAATTTTGTGTCAAATTACCTTCAGGCTGGGGCCAGCAGGTGGCATGGTAGTTAAGGTGCTGGATTCCAACATGGCTGACCATGGTTTGAGTCCTGGACCTGGCAGCTTGAAGGTCATGTTGGTTACATGTGCATTAGGGCCCAAAATCCCAAGAAGAGACTGGAGAAGGGATTGTGGCATGGCCGTCTGCCCTGAGGGGTGATTTCTCACTTTCCTTCTATGTCTCTTTCTGTCACGTGCATGCCTTATGGCAAAAACCTGAAAAAAAAAAATTACTTTCAGGCTATGTGTATGAGATGAATGTGAAAGATAAATGAATATCATGTTTAGATTCGGGTCCCATCCCCAAGATCGCTTTTGCACTTTATTTATTTATTTATTTTTAGTGGTTTTTGCCTTAGGGCCCATGTTTTCATCAGAGAGAGATCAGAGGGAGATAGTGAGAGGGAGAGACAGTGATAGAGATAGTGAGAGGGAAAGTGAGGGGGAGTGGCCACAGTGCAATACCTTCTCTTCCATTTCCTCCCTGGATCTTGGGCATGCATGTACGCACACGTGCCCATCACGATTTTCAACCCCCCGTGTCCAGGACTTGAACCTCAGTTGGCCATGTGGGAATCCAGCAACGAAACCACTGTGCCATCTGCTGGCTCCCCAAGATAGCATTTTATGTATATGGAAATATTCCAAAATAATAATAAAAATAAATCTTATATTTGAAATTCTTCTGGTCACGAGCACTTTGGTGAAGGGATGTTCAACCTGTATCAAAGAACATGAAAAAAACCTTTTTGAGTATCTTCACTTAATCTAGAAACTTTTAATTACAGATAATTTAGTTCTAAATATATTGGGTTGTACATCATAGTGTACTTAACAGGAAGTTTTTTTTCTTCTCAAGTTCAAAGTTGTTACAAGACTATTTTTACAATAAATGAAAGGAAATTAGAGGAAAAATCCAGCCATAATCCCACCACTGTAACCCCGCAGCTGTTTTCAGTTTTCTCTTTCCTTTTAGTCTTTGTTCATACAAATTCATGTTTTTAGATGGTTGAACTCATATTGTATATACAGTTTTGCATTGTGCTTTTCCACATATGCATTAGAGCATAAACTTTTCCCTAATACATACATTCTTTTTGATGGTTGAGTCTCCATTTCATCAACTTTATCATAATTTACTCAAACGGTTGTCTGGTAATTTCTAGTCCTTTGTTCTTCTGGGTAAGGCAGTGTTGACTATCTTACTGTTTATGGACTAGTTATAGATTTTTAAAATTTTAACTAAATTAAGTTGATAGTTTCTCTATTGAGTAACTCCTCATTTTATAATATTTTTGGTAATCCACATTTACTGTATAGGTGAGACGGCCTAATGTATTGGTCTCTCGACACATGACCCAACAAAGTAAGGTGAAACCCGGCTCCAATCACGTTTTCCTTGTGGCCAGCTGTTTCTCGCTATTATCCTTTAACATTCTTTAAAGATCTTTTTTTTTTTTTTTGCCTCCCTAGACAATGCCATTCTCACATGGCAAGAGGAATTTCCTTTCTGTGTTTGCTTTGTTACGGATTTCTTTTTCTCTGTGATTCTAGATTTTTTTTTCCCACTTGGGAAGAAGAATATACCCACTAGATTGTTAAAAACTTGGAGTAAAATTTTGCTTTTTAATTTTATTCTTTGAATCACACTTAGAACCTCTCTACTATCAGAGGACACCCTGACTTGGTAATGACTTCAACGGCTTTCCGGAAGAGGCAGGCTGTTCAAATTAACCCTCTGAGTTTCTTAGCCGAAGTCCACTTTCCGTACATGTGTAATTCTATATCCTCTTTGCTTGTGAAGGCCGTAGCCCTGGAGGTTAGTTACTAGTCTCATCTTTCTGGAATTGTAATGGAGAACAGCTTCAGTTCCCTGAAGCTTCTACCTAGCAGAGTCTCAGTAAATATGAGGGGACTTCAAGAAGTTCATGGAAAAATGTAGCAAGTTTATATTGGTGCAAAAGTTGGAAATCTACTAACAATTTTTTCATAATATGCATCTTTCATGAATTTTAATTTTTGCTTATTTATGTATTTATTTAGCTACAGGGTAAGTGTGCTTGCTGCAGAGAGACAGAGAGGGAAAATAAGAAATCACTCCTCAGGAGGGTGGAGGGGTGGCTGTGCCATAATCCCTTCTCCTCCATTCTCCTCTCAGGGTTTTGGGCACACAATCACACAGCCCTGTGTGATTTTCAAGCTGTCGGGTCCAGAATTTGAACTGTGGTCAGTCATGTGAGAGTCCAGTGTCTTAACTACCATGCCACTTGCTGGCCTTGTATTTTTTGGGAAGATTTTAGGGTTCATGTGCTTGCTGGAGAGACAGAGGGACAGAGAAAGTGAGACATCACTCCCCAGGGGGCATGGGCATGTCACAATCCCTTCTCCATTCCCCTCTCAGGATTTTGGGCACACATGCACACATACCCAGCGTGAGTCTCAAGCCTCTGGGTATAGGACTCCAACCATAGTTGGCCTTGTGGGAGTCTAGCAACTTAGCCAATATGCCACCTACCTTTCCAACTGTGTTTGGCCCTGTGGGTCCTAGCTCCCTTAACTACACTAGGCTACAGGGCTGGCCCCATAAATTTTATTTTTTAACTTTCATTTATTCTTCTGAGAGAGACAGAGACAGAGAGAGAGAAGAGAGAGAGAAACAGGTAGTTCCTACAGGGTCTTCATACTTTGATCCATTTCTGGTTGGAGCCAGGCCAGCTGGGACTTCATTTGGAACTCAGGCAGCCTTTACTGAACTAAATTTAACTGTAGATTTTTTTTTTTTTTGAGAGTTTTTTTTTTTTTTGCTATAGGGTGCGTGCACTCGCCAGACAGAGAGCGACAGAGAGATAGAAAGCGAGAAATCACCCCCCAGGAGGGATGGCAACGCCACAATCCCTTCTCCTCCATTCTCCTCTTGGGATCTTGGGCACGCACGCACACGCGCCCAGCGTGAGTTTAAGCCACCGGATCCGGGACTTGAACCACAGTCGACTACTTGGGAGTCCAGCGACATAGCCATTATGCTAACTGCTGGTCCCTAACTGTAGATTTTTAAAAAATATCAATTATTAGTATTAATAATAAACTCTCATGTTATTCTATTTGTCAAAGGATCCAGCTCTCAATGTTGAAACAGAAATAGAAATTCTGAAAAAACTAAATCACGTAAGTATTTCTATATGACTCCTAATTAAATTCATTTATTAAAATATGGAAAGAATGTAAAGCCTTTTAACACATACAGTTAGCGTTAACTTCAGTTTCTTTTTTGTTTGTTTATGTGCTTTTGCCTGAGCGTGCATGTGCTCTCCAGACAGAGAGAGAGAGAGAGAGAGAGAGAGAGAGAGAGAGAGAGACAGGGAGGGGGAGAAAACAATCCCTATGTGGAATGGTCTTGCTGCAATCCTTTCTGCTTCATTTCTCCATCCTGTCAGGATCTGGGCATGTACATACATGTGTATGGCATGTGTTTCAAGCTGCCAGGTCTGGGGCTCAATCTATGGGGTTGGCCATGTGAGATCCAGTGCCTTAACCACCATGCCACCTGCTGTGCCTCCCAAGTCTTTTATCAAGAGATCAGGAATCTTTCTTTAAAGAGAGGAGCTCTCTAATTTTCTAGGATAGGGTTACATCAAACATACTCTTTCGATAAACACTTACGAATTTGCAGAGAATTTTCTCTGATGTCAGAGGATTCTCCAGCCGTAACATTTTTACAGATCTGGTGTCTGGTGCAGTAGAGAATTTAGAACCTTAACAAGGACTTATTTTGTGGCAATTTATGAGGGCACATGAAACCCTTAAGCATTGGTCTTGGGCACTTGAGTGCTTTTTTTTTTTTAATTGCCAGAGAGTACATGCATGAAAGAGGGAAAGCACTCCTCATTGGTGGCATGGTCACAAACCACCATCCTTTCCCCTCCATTTCTTCTTTCCATTAGGATTTTGGGCACTCACACATACATGCCAGGTGTGTTCTTCAAGCTGCTGGCACCCTGGATTCTAACCACAGTCAGCTACGTGGGATCCAGCTTCCAGTGCACACTGCTTTGTGGCCAGCACTACTTGCTATGGGGCCAGCCCCCTTGAGTGCATTTTTACTGGGGGCAAAGAGCAGAGAACTAGTGGCCGAGAGCCTGGCCTTTGGTTGAGATGTGGATCTGCTCAGCTGTCAGACACCGTTCATGGCTGGCTGTCTTCCAGGCCTAGGCAGTGGTAAGCACAGATGGAGTGTCAGTCCATCCCATGTGGCTTCAGTATAGTAGAGACAGATGTGGTTCCTATCCCATTCTTTCCCCCTTTTTGCCCCTCCCTCCCTCGTTCTTTCCCTCTGCTCCTTCCATGAGAGAGAGAACACCCCCAACAGGGTCTTCCTGTCAATCGACCCCAGCCTCAGCCAACATGACCACAGGCATGTCTGTGTGCCTGGTATGCACCGGGAAGGTAACCCTCCCATGTAGCTCTAGTTGTGTTGCTGCTGTGTCACCATTCACTTGGGGAATGATGGTGATCTGAAGTCTTTTCTTTGGATAACCTACATGGGAGGTCTGAGTTAGTAGCCTCTGAGTCGTGGTAGAGAGATTCCGTCAGCTATGACAGCCTTGGCCGGTGAGATGGTGGAGACTAGAGGAGACCGCTCATGCTGGCTCTGAGGACTCCTGCTCCATCTCCTCCCAGCGCCATGTCTACCTATTCCCTGGTGGTACTGGTGCTTTCCATTATGAAGCCAGGCAGGACCAAGCAGTTCTCCTTTCTCCCTCTGATCTGTTCTTCTTTTTCTATGCGTATCTTCTGGTTTTTCCTTTAAAAGGTAATTTTTATCAAGATAGCACATGTGTACAGAGTTTCCATGGGAGTTCGGGTCCAGGACCCCCTCGTGTATACCAATATTAAAGAATGCTGATGTCCTTTATATAAAATGGCGTAGTGTTTGCATATAGCCTATGCCCACTCTCCTGTATGCTATAAGTCTCCTCTAGGTTACTCAATATTGAGTATGCATTTTCGGGTATATAATATGTTCTCCCTGGCCCTCAGTGTTCTTCTCTACACCCTGTATTGACCACAGGTCAAGAATTATCAGTCATAGAAGTACATGTCTCTCTTTTTTTTTTTTTTTTTTTTGAGAGATTTTCACTGTAGGGTGCGTGCGCTCGCCAGACAGACAGAGAGAGACATAGAGACAGAAAGCGAGAAATCACCCCCCAGGGGGGATGGTCACGCCGCAATCCCTTCTCCTCCATTCTCCTCTCGGGATCTTGGGCACGTACGCACACGCGCCCGGCGTGAGTTTTAAGCCACCGGGTCCGGGACACGAACCGCGGTCGACTATGTGGGAATCCAGCGACATAGCCATTACGCTAACTGCTGGTTCCCTACATGTCTCTCTTTAATGCAAAAGTTGTGCTTTAGAATTCTTTTCTTTTTTTTTTTTTTACGAGGTTTTGCCTTAGGGCACATGTGCTCACTGGAGAGAGAGACAGTGGGAGGGAAAATGAGAAATCACCTTCCGGGAGGATGGCCAGTGCCTTCTCCTTCACTCTTCTGGGATCTTGGATATGCACACATATGCACTCGGCATGAGTTTCAAGCCACGAGGTGTAGGACTTGAACTGTGGTCGGCCATGTTGGAGTCCAGTGATATAACCGCTACATCATATGCTGGCCCCTAGAATTCTTATAAAATTAGAATTTCTTTTCTTGAAAAATGGGAGGATCTTATCAAATGTCACACCAGTTGACCTATGGTTCTGGTTGCCTGGAGCTTATTTAATTGACAGCAGAGTTGGGCTCCTCATCTGGCCTTTTTTAAAAGTTTATTTATTTCTTTGATGAAAGGGAGAGAGAGATAGACATCAACCTTTAACAGGGTCTGTATGAGCCAAGATTATTGGCACATGCCTGGATTGTACAGGGAGGCTGCAGGATTTGAACCTGAGACTTTCCAATTGCACACCACCATCTGCTTCATCTTGATTATTCATGCTATTTGTTGGACTCATTCAGGTTCCTTCGACTGTCCTTAAATATGTCTGCTCTGGAAGAGGAAGAGACCCAGCCATTGTTTTTATTTTTGTTTTTTAAAGAATTATTTATTTATTTAATTCCATTTGTTACTGTTTTTTAATTTGACCAGACAGAGACAGAGAGAAAGCCAGGGAAAGCGAAAAAGCAAGCCATCAGGTCTGGGACTTGAACCATAGTCGACCATGTGGGAATCCAGCACCTTGAAACACCACGCCACCTCCTGGCCCCCCAGCCGCCATTCTTAGGTGACATCCTTGCTTACAGATGAACTGGTTTCTGTCAGTGGAGAGGAGCAGAAAGTGTCTTGCCAGTTCTCGCTAGGACTTGACTCCATTCTGTTCTGCCTTTGCCCCTGTTTGAACATCAGAGTGTCCTGAGGCAGGAGGCCAAATGCTTGGTCTGGGCCTCCCTGGCTTTCGGGGCAGTTGTCTCATGTTCTGCTGCTCTGGTGGTTTCCTCTTGGAAAGAGGAGATTCTCACTATTTTTCCTTTCTTCTCCTCTTTTAGCCTTGCATCATCAAGATTAAAAACTTTTTTGATGCAGAAGATTATTACATTGTTTTGGAATTGTAAGTAGTAAACTTTTAAAATTCATGTTTCCATTTAAACACTCATAAGCCACCAAAGAGGCTAATGCAGGGTTGCCTTTTCATCCTTGGGGCTCTCAACATAGAACTATAATGGTGGGCCTCTAGAGCGAGCGAGTGAGTGTACGTTTGTGTGTGTGTCGGAGGGGGAGGAGGTTGTATCAATACTAAAAACCCTCCGGTGTTTCAAAGAAGGCGGGATGGGAGTCCAGGCCCAGTATCTGTAATGAGGCCTGGGTTTGAACTCCATCCTGCAGGTGACTAGTCGACAGCTCACAGTAAGTTGATTTCCCTTTCTGAGTCTCATTTTCTTAGTGTTCAATGGGGATAATAATGAGACCACCCCCCCCTCCCCAGAGGCCTTGGAAGGGTTCAATGCTAAGAGGGATGGGAAGCCTACAGGGCACCTGGCACAGGTCAGTGCGCACTCACAGTTGGATATCGTTACTTGAAATAACCTGCCTGGGTGAGTCTTTCTCCAGCTCACAGGACCAGGTTGTATGATGGCACCTGGGTATCCTTCAGCATCCATAATAGCCTGTCTTCTTTGGTATGATCAAAATAATCTTCTGTCTCATTCCTGGAAGTCTGTCCTGATACCCATTCCTGCATAAACTTACAGTGATTCTAGGGTTAAGTGGAGGCAGGGAATGATTTGCTTCTGACTGACAGACAATGGCTAGGCAGGTCCACTGCTAAGATTATGTGAGAAGTCTTCAGAACGTTCATAGAAAATGCCTGTTGTGGGGACCAGCAGGTGGTGTAATGGTTATGTTGCTGGACTCCTACATGGTCGACCACGGTTTGAGTCCCAGACCTGGTTGCTTAAAACAAACTGGGTGCGTACGTTGTGCTTGCCCAAACTCCCAAGAGGAGAATAGAGGAGAAGAGATTGAAGCGTGACCATCCCGCTGGCGAGTAATTTCTCGTTTTCTGTCTCTCTGGCAAGCGCTTGCACCCTATAGCAAAAATCTCTCTATCAAAAATAAAAAAGCAATGAAAATGCCTATTATGAAAAAGCTATGCATGGATTTCAAAAAGTTTTTTTGCAACAAAATAAATTCATAGTTTAATTTGTTAATTCCATTGTGTATGTGTGTGTGTGTGTGTTTTATTTTTTTGCACCATAGGGTGCATGTGCTCACCAGATAGAGGGGAAGTGCAAAACCACCTCCAGGGGGGATGGCCATGCTTCAGTCTCTTCTCCATTCTCCTCCCAGGATTTTGAGCATGTATGCACATGTGCCTGATTTTCAAACCTCCAGGTCTGTTATTTGAACCACAGTTAGCTTTGTGGAAGTCCAGCACTTTAACTACTATGCCATGTTTCTGGTCCCAATATCACCAACTTTTTTTTAAAAATTATTTAATTTTATTTATTTATCTTAATTTGACCAGACAGGGACAGAAAGAGAGGGAAAGTGGGAAAGCAAGCCACCAGGTCCGGGACTTGAACTGTGGTCTGCCACCCTTAACCACCACGCCACCTGTTCCCCCTGTTTATTATTATTTTAATTCACCGGAGATAGACGGGGTTGGGTGTGGGGGGAGTCACCAACTTTTTAAAGTCCTTTTGTATAGTAAACAACAGCCTTGAGCATAGCAGTAGGAGCCACTGAATGGCCTCTTTAGTGCTTAGGGGAATGTGTGTTTCTGTGAAATAGAAGATTGTTACTTGACTAGATCCAATTAACACAGCTTAGTAATAATGATAAGACAATAATAGCTGATAATTATTATTTTTTTAAAAGAATTACTTATTTATTTCCATTTGTTATTGTTATTTTTTTCTTTATTTGACGAGAGAGAGAAAGGGAAAGTGAGAAAGCAAGCCACCAGGTCTAGGATTTGAACCATGGTTGGCCATGTGGGAATCCAGCACCCTTATCCACCACACCACCTGCTGGCCCCAATAGCTGATAATTATTTTAATAACTTTAAAAAATATTTACTTAATTTAATTTAATTAATTAATTAATTTAAATTAGACGAGAGAAAGGTGGGGGGCAGAAAGCAAGCCACCAGGTTCAGGACTTGAACCAATGTTGGCCATGTGGGAGTGCCCAGCACCTTAACCACCATGCCACCTGCTGTCTCCTTAAATAACTTTTTAAAAAAGAATTATTTTATTTAACTTTATTTATTTTCATTTGACCAGAGAGGGACAGAGTATGAGAGAGAGAGAGAGAGAGAGAAGGAAATTGAGAAAGCTAGTCGCCAGGTTTGGGACTTGAACTGCGGTCAGCCATGTGGGAGTCCCGCCCCTTAACCACCATGCCACCTGCTTGCCCAATACTTATTAAGAACTTACTGTGATCCAAGTACTGCCACAAGCACATAACATGATCGACAGTCTTACAACAGGTGAGTTACTATTGTTAGTCTCACCTTAAAGAAAAGGAATCTGAATAACTTTGCTATATGCTACACTGTGTGTACTTTACTTACATTAATTATCTGTTAATTTTTACAGCCATTGAGGTAGGTGGTATCATCCCCTCCCTTTTTTCTTTTTCTTTTTTTTTTTTTATTAAATTTGTAGTGCACATGAGCTCACCAGAGAGAAAGGGAAAGTGAGAGAAATCATGCTCAAGGGTCTGGGGATGCATGCTGTAATCCCTTCTCCTCCTTTCTCCTCTCTGGATTTTGAGCACACATGCAAATGCAACTAGCGTGTTTTTCAAATTGCAGGATCCAGGACTTGAATCACACAGCTGGCCATGGGGGATCTAGTGCCTTAAACTCCATGCCACCTGCTGGTCCATATCATCCCCATTTTATTTTTTTTAAGAGAGATTTTTGCTATAAGGTGTGTATGTTTGATGGAGGGACAGAGAAAGACAGAGAGATAGAATGTGAGAAATCACCTCCAGGGGGTATGGCCACTCTACCATCCCTTCTCCATTCTCCTCTTAGGATCTTGGGTACGCACGTGCATGCGCCCGGTGAGAGTTTTAAGTTGCTGGGTATGGTACTCAAACCACAGTCTTCTCCATAGGAGTCCAGTGATGTAACCATTACACCATCTGCTGGTCCTCCCCGCCCCGCTTTAAAAAAAAAAAAAGATTTATTTAATTTTATTTATTCATTCATTTGTTTGTTTATTTTTATTGTTATAGGGCATGTGAGCTCGTCAGAGAGAAGCAGATATCAAGGGAAAGTGAGAAAGCAAGTAGCAAGGTGTAGGACTCGAACCATAGTTGTCCATGTGGGTGTCCAGCACCTTTAACCACTATGCCACCTGCTGGTCCATGTTATTTTTTTTTTTTAAGGACCCCAATTGTCTCCAGTGCCCATTGCACATTCCTTCTCTCTTGTTCTTTAGTTTAGAACTGGGACTTCTGATTGTGGATGAGACTTACTATGAATTAGCTCTAAAGGTGGGAGTGGAGAGAGAATAAAATGGCCATGGTTTGCTTGTCTCAGTGAGTATGTCTTGTGTTATTATCTTTCCTCCCGTAAGTTTCCCTGCAGGAATGAACTCGTTTCGCCTCTGTTTCAGGATGGAAGGAGGAGAGCTGTTTGACAGGGTGGTAGGGAATAGACGCCTGAAGGAAGCTACCTGCAAACTCTACTTTTACCAGATGCTCTTGGCTGTGCAGGTAAGAGAAGGCCTCAATTTTCCTGACAGCTTACTTCCTTTCTGAGGAATTATTCCATGAGTTGGGCAGAAATGGAGGGACGGGAGATTCAAACTCAGAAGAGAATCGTGTATTTGTTGTTCTTTTCTTTGGCAATAATATCCGTAAGAGAGGGAAGTCCTGGATCACGAGCACATACGTGACCCATGTACTCAGGGAGATCCTCAGACTTGACCTCAGCACCTTCCCATATGGGTTAGTCTCATAGAATGTTGCATTTTACTGCTGCACCATTGTCTGGCCTTCTCTTTTTAATTTTTTTGGAGAGGTTTTTGCTACAGGGCGCGTGCGCTCGCCAGACAGAGACATAGAGACAGAAAGCGAGAAAGCACCCCCCAGGAGGGATGGTCATGCCGAAATCCCTTCTCCTCCGTTCTCCTCTCGGGATCTTGGGCACGCACGCACACGCGCCCGGCGTGAGTTTTAAGCCACCGGGTCCGGGACGCGAACCGCGGTCGACTACGGGGGAGTCCAGCGACATAGCCATTATGCTAACTGCTGGTTCCCCTGTCTGCCCTTCTCTTATATTAGTTTATTACCTCCCTTATTTTTCTAAGAATATTAAAATATACTGAGTGCAGATCAGAGGGTGTGAAACATTTTTTCTTTCTTTCTTTCTTTCTTTCTTTTTTTTTTTTTTTTGAGAGGTTTTTATTATAGGGCATGTGTATCCAACAGAAAGACAGAGAGAGACAGAGAGACAGAAAGTTAGAAATCACCCTCCAGAGGTGATGGCCATACCGCAATCCCTTCTCCTCCATTCTGTTCTCAGGATCTTGGGCATGCACGCACACGTGCCCGGCGTGAGTTTAAGCCACTGGATTCGGAACTTGAACCACGGTCGACTACATGGGAGTCCAGCGACATAGCCATTATACTAACTGCTGGTCCCGAAACATTTTTGATTTCTAAAGAATCATGACATATGGGATTGGCAGGTGGCATGATGGTTAAAGACACTGGACTCCCACATGGCCGACTGTGGTTTGAGTCCCAGAACTGGTGGTTTACTTTCTCACTTTCCCTCTCTCTCTTTCTCTGATCAAACTGGAAAACAAAAATAATAAAAAAGTTAAAGATAATAATTCCTTAAAAGAAACCCAACATGACATAGTCTATTGATGTTTCCTTATGGATTTGTTTTTTTAATTTGCTATAGAGTGTGTACATTCACCAGAGAGAGACAGAGACAGAGAGATAGGGACAGTGAGAAAGTACCTCCCAGGGATCATGACCATGGTGTAGTCCCTTGTCCTCCATGATCCTCTCAGGATTTTGGGCATGTATGCATATGCGCCCGAAGTATTTTTCGAGCTGCCAGGTCTGGTTCTGTATGAGATCCAGCTACCTCAACCACCAAGCCACCACGTGGCCCACCTTATGTGTTAATTTTTAAAAATATTTATTTAATTCCATTTATTATTATTTTTTAATCTGACCAGAGAGAGACAGAGAGAAAGGGAAAGCAAGAAAACAAGTCATTAGGTCTGGGACTTGAACCACAGTCAGCCATGTAGGAACCCAGCAAGTTTAACCACCACACCACCTGCCGGCCCTATGTGTTCCTTTTTTTTTTTTTTTTTTTTTTTGAGTTTTAGGGCGCGTGCGCTCGCCAGACAGGCAGAGAGAGACATAGAGACAGAAAGTGAGAAATCACCCCCCAGGGGGGATGTCCACGCCGCAATCCCCTCTCCTCCATTCTCCTCTCGGGATCTTGGGCACGCACGCACACGCACCCGGCGTGAGTTTTGAGCCACCAGGTCCGGGACACGAACCGCGGTCGACTACGTGGGAGTCCAGCGACATAGCCATTACGCTAACTGCTGGTTCCCCCATGTGTTCCTTTTTGTATGCTATTTCAGACCACAGAGTTTTCAAAGATTAGGTCAGCCTTTGTGTCAAGGAATCAGTTAGCCCTGAGTATTTAAACAGATAATTTACAAATATTTGATTTACAGAGTCCCTTTAACAATGGTGTTTTTAGTACTGTTATAATCAAAAACATCAGTTTGGTGGGATTTTTGTTTACTTTGGCATGTTCTGAAATTATTTTGTATCCCCTCATTTAACTCCTTAATTGAAATCTACACCTCACATTTCTGCCACATCTAGGGTTATTTATTATCTTGAAAGTAACATGAAATATTTATTCTTCTGAGTTGCCTTTTCAATTTTCTAGTTATTAATGTTCTTGAAAATAGACTGGTAAGCACTAACCCCTTTACTCAGCAGTCTTCTATCATTTGGGGGAATATGGCTGTGCTCCCAGTCCCCCCCAGCTGTGAGATGTGTGTGTTTGTCTTTACTCACATACCTGCTGTCACACCCAAGAGTCATGGCCTCCTTTTTGTGTAGTACCTTCATGAAAATGGCATTATACATCGGGACTTAAAGCCAGAGAATGTTCTACTGTCATCTCAGAAAGAGGACTGTCTGATAAAGGTAAGAAATTTATGTTCTAGGGACCTGCAGATGGGGTAATGGTTACATCGCCAGACTCCCACGTAGTTGACCGTGGGTTGAGTCCCGGACCCGGCAACTTAAAAACTCATCCCTGGCACATATGCGTGCATGCCCAAGATCCCGAGAGGAGACTGAAGGAGAAGGGATTGTGGCATGACCATCCCCCCTAGGGGTTGATTTCTCGCTTTCTGTCTCTCTCTGTCTCTCTGGTGAACGTACACACCCTACAGGAAAAATCTCTGTCTTAAAAAAAAAAAACCAAACAGAAAATTATGTTTTGGATGGGGCTGCTTCAGTAGATTTCTGTACAAAAAGTCTATTTCAATTCCTCAAGTGAAAAGTGGGAGTATAAAAAGGTTGAAAATCTGAAGCCAGCAAGTGGCATGGTGGTTAAGGCAGTGGACTCTCACATGGCCAACCGTGGTTTGAGCCCTGGACCTGGTGGCTTACTTTCTCCCCCCGCCTCCCCTCTGGTGAGCATACATACCCTGTAGCAAATAAAAATATATATAATAACAATAATTATGAATAAAGTTGGACAACTAATTCTTTTAAAAAAAGATTGAGAATCTGACTTTTCTGCTCTAGGAAAGGTGTTATTTCTAGGAAGGGTGTTATTGCTCCACCCGGATGTAAATGAATATTTATTGAACTCCACCCTTTACAAGCCCATTCGTGGTCAGAGAGAAAGAAAAGGGATCTGGAATGAATGAGTGAATCATATAACCTATTCTTCCTTGGCTCTCAGGCCTGACTTCCTTTTTGAATCTCCTGATAGGAGGGGCCAGTAGGTGGAATGGCAGTTAAGGTGCTAGACTCAAACATGGTCAACTGTGGTTCAAGTCCTGGACTTGGCAACTTGCTTTCTCACTTTCCCTTTCTCTTTCTTCGGTCAAAATAAAAATAATAGCAGTTAAAATTGAGGAAGTCATTCTTTAAAAAAAAAAAAAAGAATTTCCTAATAGGGTTGAAAAAGAATAAAAGCAGGTTAAGGTGCCAGATTCTCACATGGCCAACTGCGGTTTAAATCCTGGACCTGGTGAGTTGAAAATCACAACTAATAGATAAATAGATAGATAGATAGATAGATAGATAGATAGATAGATAGATAGATAAAATTTCAAAACAAAAACAGGGTTGGCTCCATGGCCTAGTGGTTAAGGGAGCTAAATCCCACATGGCAAACCATGTAGTTTGAGTCCCAGACCTGGCAGCTTGTAAAAGATTCTGTGTGTGCATGTGTGTGTTTGTCTAAAATCCCAACAGGATAGAGAAATGGAGGAGAAGGGACTGCAGTGTGACCTTTTCCCATTAGGAGGTTACTTTCTCTCTCTGTCTCTCTGGCAGGCACGCATACTCTCTGGCAAATGAAAAATAAACAAGCAAAAACAGACCATATGTCACCTAGACTGTCCTTTAAAACCAGAAGGTGGGCACCAAAAGTGTTTTTTCCCAAGCTTTCCACAGGTATTCCCTGGTGCGGCCAAGTTTGAGAACCTGGGGTCTAAGAAGAACCATGTGTAACAAATTAGAATTTTAAGAGTGTCTGTTGTAAGGGTTATAGTTTTCTTAAAATTACAGACAACATAGGTAAGTTAGAAAACCTGAGTCTTAAGGTTTCTAGGTTTAGGAATTTTAAGCAAAACTAAATACTTGAATTGTTTTTAAAATTATTTTTATTTATTTATTAGTGATTTTTGCTGTAGGGTGCATGTGCTTACAGGAGAGAGAGGGAGAGACAGACTGAGTCAGAGAGACAGAAAGTGCGAAATCATGCCCTAGGGGGATGGCTACACTACAATTCCTTCTCCTCCGTTCTCCTCTTGGGACTTTGGGGGCATGCGTGCGTGCACAGGCGTCCACCATGAGTTACAAGCCTTGGGATTCAAGTTGTAGTCAGCCATGTGGAAGTCCCTTAACCACCGTACTACCCGGTGGCCCTAAATATTTTAGCCTGTAAAGACACAGATTTGTAGACTCTAGATTAATGCCAATGTGAACTGTATGAGAAATTGATTTATACTGCATATTTTTTAGGACTGGTAGACTACATTATTCATTTGTTTGTTTATTTACTTTTTTTTCTTTTATTTTTTTCTGTGTGTGTGGAGAGAGGTCTTTGCTATAGGGCTCATGTGCTTGCCAGAAAGACAGAGAGAGACAGAAAGTGAGAAACCATCCCCCAGGGGGGATGACCATACCATAATCCCTCCTCCTCCATTCTCCTCTTGGTATCTTGGGCATGCACACACACGTACCCAGTGTTAGTTTAAGCCACTGGGTCCAGGACTCAAACACGGTTAACTATGTGGGAGCCCAGCAACGTAATCATTATGTTATCTGCTGGTCCCAATTTACTTTTTTTTTTAGAGATATATTTTTGTTATAGGGCATGTGGGCTTGCCCAGAGAGACAGAAAGTGAGAAATGAACTCCCAAGGAGAATGGCCTCATTGTAATCCCTTTCCTCTCCATTCCCCTCCTAGAATTTTGGACATGCATGCATAACCACCTGGCGTGAGTTTTAAGCTGCTTAGTTGGGGACTTGAACCATAGTCGGCCATGTGGGAGTTCAGCACCTTAACCACTACGCCACTCACTAGCACCCATTTATTTATTTTTAATACCAATGGGTGTGTATGTGTGCTGGAGACAGAGAGAGCACCTCGCAATGAGGCCTGTTCACGCTGCAATCCTATTTCCTCATTTCTTTTTCTTGTCAGGATCCTAGGCATGTGCATGCATGTGTGTGGTATGTTTTTTAAGGCACTGGGCCAAGACTTGAACCCTGATTGGCCATGTGGGATCCAGCTCCCTCCTCCCTGCATTTAAACACTGCTCTATGCTTCTGGCCCCGTTAATCTTTTTATTTTATGGCTTCATTACAAATGATTTTCTTTTGTCCTTAATTTTAGATTACTGATTTTGGACAGTCTAAGATTTTGGGGGAGACCTCTCTCATGAGAACTTTATGTGGCACCCCCACCTACCTGGCTCCTGAGGTCCTTATTTCTGTTGGTACTGCTGGGTATAACCGTGCTGTGGACTGCTGGAGTTTAGGCGTTATTCTTTTCATCTGGTAAGAAAAGTTTTCATTGCTTCACAGTTTGGTTGTAGGTGAACAGATGAAATCTTAAATGTATTCGATAGAGAATTTGTATTTAAGTTAGGTCAGTTAGGGGGCTCTCAATGTAATGAATAATCTGATTTTTTCATTATGCTGAAAACGAAATCTGTATATAATCTGTATATTTGAATGCCACTAGATAATGATTTCTTTTCCTTTTTCTCTCTACCAATATTAAGCCTTAGTGGGTATCCACCCTTCTCTGAGCATAAGACTCAAGTGTCACTGAAGGATCAGATCACCAGTGGAAAATACAACTTCATTCCCGAAGTCTGGGCAGAGGTCTCAGAGAAGGGTATGGATATGAAAGGGTCAAGAATCTGTGGTTTGTAAAATATGTGCGTTCTATGCTGGGGGTTTCTTTTCAAATTCTGTGATTGTTTTCTCCTGTCTATTCTGTTCATTTTGCTCCATTTGAGAGGAATTTACTTAGAGTCTGGATGAGCTCATGTCTGGGTTTGCTCCTTCCTAGCTCTGTGAGTTTAGGAAAGTTATAAAACCTCTCTGGGCCTCTGTTTTCTCTGTCAAGGGGGCTTCAATAATCCTTACCTTAAAGAGTTTTTGTGAGGGTTAAGTGTAATGTACACAAATGCCTGTTACCTTTTTAAGAGTGCCAAGTAATAAGTAACTTTTTAGTTAAAGAGCTTCCTCTGAGTAAGCATGTGAAGCCTGTGTAATAAAAGCCAAATGTCATTAGTTATCTTCTATTTTATTACACAGTGCTACTTTGTAATTCCCTGAAGAAAAAGTAGAAGATTGAAATAAAATGTCAAACAGTGTAACAGAGACATTGCTACATGTTTGAATATTTACTGAATAATGTTGCAGTATACTAGCTAGTTTGCAAGTTGTTACTTAATGAAGTAGTCAGGCTTTATATCTGAAAAGCCTGCAGTTTGAGGGAGCCTCTGACTGAGAAACTCTGATGGTCAATCTGTGGGTCTTGAGATCACTAAGCATCCTAAGTGTCTTAGATCAGAATGGAAATTCAGCTTTTATTTGGGGGGGCGGGGAGTGGGGAGAGACATTTTTGCTGTAGGGTGCGTGCACTCACCAGAAAGACAAGAGGGAAACAGAGAGATAGAAAGTGAGAAATCACCCCCCAGGGGGTATGGCCACACCATAATCCCTTTTCCTCCATTCTCCTCTCAGGATCCTGGGCATGCATACACACGCACCTTGGGTGAGTTTAAGCCGCCTGGTCCAGGACTTGAACTGTGGTCCACTGCATGGGAGTCCAGTGACTTAGCCATTGTGCCAACCGCTGTTCCTGGAAATTCAGCTTTAATTAGTTTGCGATTGAGTCCAGCAACTAGAGACAGAAAAGGGAGCTAAGAGTCTATGATGTCCCAGCAGGGAGAGACTGGTGGTGTTCTTAGCGTCCTGAGTGCTGCGAGAGAGGAAGATTAGGGGACCCTGCCCACTCTGCATGCTGACTTCCGGATCGTCTCAGCTCTTCTCCTCCTTCTGCGTGGTGGCCTGTAATTCTGGCATACTCAAATAGTGCTGCTTCAATGCAGTTGTCCTTCCTCTGTGATCTGCCTATTATCTCTTTGTTTTAGCTCTAGACCTGGTCAAGAAGTTGTTGGTAGTGGATCCAAAGGAGCGTTTAACAACAGAAGAAGCCTTAAAACACCCATGGCTTCAGGTAGGTGTGGGGCAGTGCCTACCAGCATAAAATACCCTGGAAGCCCTGAACCGCCTGAGAGAGATGAGGAACAGATTGGAAAAATGACATTTGGTTTTGGTGAACCTGTTCAATGTAACTGTTCAGATGAAGCTTTGTGTGTACGGGGTGTGTGTGTTAGGGGGCTCTTGGAGAGACAAGCGTACTTTATGGTCTGTTCTGATTCTCCTTGGCTGCACAGAGTCTGCAGTTACACTGTGTTTCTTTGAAAGGTTGTTCCTGCTCCACTGTCCAAGTCTCCCGCCTTTCTTCCATGGCAGGGTGGGCTTTTATTCCTGTCGTCTTCTACCTTAGATCAGGGAAACTAGGGGAGCAGAGAGGAGGGCAGTCTCCCTGGGAAGGATCCAGGCATTTCCCAAGCCTAAGCGATCTCCCACTTCCTGTTCGTGGTAAGCATGCCATCAGTGTGCCTTTCGGGTCTGCATGGCCTCCGTGTTCCTGCTGGGGGTTGTGGCTGCCATTAGATTATGTACTCATTTTGGGACCAGCAGTTAGCGTAATGGCTATGTCGCTGAACTCCCAGGTAGTTGACCGCTGTTTGAGTCCCAGACCCAGTGGCTTAAACTCATGCCGGGTGCGTGTGTGTGTATGCCCAAGATCCCGAGAGGAGAATGGAGGAGAAGGGATTGCGGCGTGGCCATGTCCCCTGGGGGGTGATTTCTCGTTTTCTTTCTGTCTCTCTGGCAAGCGCATGTGCCCTGTAGCAAAAAACAAAAGCAAAAAAACTCTCAAAAAAAACCCCCAAAAGATTATGTACTCGTTTCATGGGGCACTGCCAGAGTCGGAAGTGTTTGAGTCTCGGTGGGGCTCGTCTTTGGTGTTGGAATTAACTACCGCCTGGTGCACGTTTTCTGATGGAGGTCTCATCTTCTAGCCAGTGTAGCTCCATTCAGCACAGCCATGCCTCTCTTCACTAGTTCTCCTTTGGTCTGTCTGTTTCCTGTGGGGATGGGGCACTAACCAGATAGTTTGAGCAAGAGGCTGATCTCCAGGCCACTTACTGGTCTAGGAACTCTAGCCAATCCAGCCTTCGCTCTGTACTTCTCTGACTCTGGGGAACCAGTCCCTGTTCTCTCTTTGAACCCTTCCCATCCAACAGTTTTGCTCAGGTTGAGAACAATAAATCCTTAAAAAAAAAAAAAAAAAAAGGCAGATATATGTGTTTTGGATGTTGCCTTGGGAACAACCATCCCCTCGCTCCTCAGGAAGGTGATTTAGCATTCACTAGACCACACAGATTTGCAACAGCAGGACCCTGGAGAGAAGGAGTTTGGAAACAAGGGTGCCTTTGCATGTGGGGATTTAATTTTGATGAAAAAGAGAAACATGCTTCTTGGCTCTTTTCATGCGTCCTAATAGGGAAACTCTTAGGGTCTAAGAGTTAGTCTTGGGGAAAAAACAAAGTGGAGTTGGCCAGTTAGGCCTGGGAGTAGAGTCCGCATCTGCCTGAACTTTACGAGCAAGCGGTGCCTATTTTTCTTGTACTTTTTGTCTCAGGAGAAAACTGTTCGGAACAACCAAGGAAAAGGTGGAGCTCAGCCCGCCACAGGGGTCTTATCTGAGTACTCCTTTGTCCACGTTTTGTTCTTGCAGCAAAGGACGGAGCGGACTTCGAATGGGGACTAAGGCACTAAGTGCCCATTGGAAACATCTGTTAGTGATAGCTTCGTTTTTATTTTGGGGAAGTTCAGTGTTTTTGAAGAAACCAAATGGTTTTGTGGGTCTGGCCTTGGACGGAGTGTTGGGAATGCGAGTTCTGGTCTCTGTTTTGGTATTAACAGAGTATCCTCTTTGGGAAGCATCCCTTATGGCCACTTCTCCCTCACGTTTATTGCCTGAAGTAGAGGACTCCTTCCTTTCTGCCTTCGGGGATATTACAATGTAGTGGTTTTGAACAGACTGTGGGCATCTCAGAGGAGGGGTACATTTACAGGAAAACATTCCCATTGCTTTCTGTCTCTCTATCTCTGTCTGTGTGGCGAGCACACATGCCCTGTAGCAAAAACCTCTCCAAAAACAAACAAACAAACAAAAAAACCCACACACACAAGCACTTGTGTGTGTGCCCAACATCCCAAGAAGAGACTGGAGGGATTGCCACATGGCCATCCCTCCCCAGGGAGTGATTTCTCACTTTCTCTCTCTTTCTGTCTCTGTCTCTGTCTCTCTCTGACAAGCACACATACCCTTTAGCAAATTTAATAAAAAAATAAATAAAACGTAGGTCTGAACAGATCTGTGGTTATTCTGCGTGGCCTCACTGAAGCGCGGCCACCTGGAGGGCATTCTGTCTTGTGTTCATTTGTTTGTGCGTTCATTCCTTCAGAGCCCGAGTAATGAGCTCATGTGTGAAGTACTGTCAGGCACCACGGATGCCAAGAGGAATAAGTCAAGCCCTTGCCTCGGGGAGCTGGCCGTCTGGGGCAGGGCCAGCCCTGTCCACAGTCATTACAGAGCAGTGCAGTACATGTGGTAATGAGGGATACAGAAATGGTTGTGACTCAGGAGGAGGCAGAGCCGCCGCCTGTAGGGCTTTGGGTACCCACACGTTCACACAGCCTGAAGAGTGTCTTCAGGCTTAGTGGCCTGGCATTGACATGGGGCGGATAAGCAGATCAGTATTTTTTTGAGAGGTTTCTGTTATAGGGCACATGTGCTTTCTGGAAAGACAGAGACAGAAAGCAAGAAATTACCCCCCTTGGGGGATTATTTTGCCGCAGTCCCTTCTCCATTCTCTTCTCAGGATCTTGGGCACACATGCACATGTGCCCAGTGTGAGTTTAAGCTGCTGGGTACAGGACTCAAACCACAGTCGACTACGTGGGAGTCCCACAACATAACCATGATGCCATCTGCTGGTCCCGAGCAGATCAATATTTTTAAACATTTACTGAATCTCTGTCTTTCTCTCTTTTTCAGTTTGCTTATAGTGTGTATAAGCTCACTGGAGAGAGACAGAGAGAAAGTGAGAAATCACCCCCTCATGCGGGGTGGCTAAGCCATAATCCCTTTTTCATTCTCTTCTCGGGATCTGGGATGCGCGTGTGCCTGGTGTGTTTTTCAGGCTGCGTGGTCCAGGATTCGATTTGTGCAGTTGGCTTCATGGGATCCTGCTGCCTTAATGACCATGCCCATGGGTGGCCTGAACCTTGGACCTTTTCTTGTGGGCCCAGTGATATGGAGTATTGTATTACCTCTGCTGTACCAGACTTGGGGGTGATTCTTGGTGCACAGACTGGTTGACTTTGTCCGTTTCCCCCTTTTTAGGGCTCTTTAGCTCTGTCCTTCTGGGAGCTTTCTTTCCCTCCGAATATACTGACATGTTTTGCATTTCTTTGCAGGATGAGGACATGAAGAGCAAGTTTCAGGATCTGCTGTCTGAGGAAAATAAATCAGCAGCTCTCCCCCCGGTCCCAGTCCAGGTAATTCCTATCAATGGTCATTAAAGGCAGTGTCAGGCCAGCCAGCAGTGTGGTGGTTCAGGCGCCTGGATCCCACCTGGCCAGCAGCCTGGTTAAGCAGACCTGGTGGCTTGAAAAACACCCTGGGTGTGTGGGCACGTGTGTCCTAAATCCTGTCAAGAGAATGGAGGAGCAGGGATCACAGTGTGGCCATTCCACCTGGGGGGTGCTTGCTTTCTTTCCCTTTGTCCCTGGTGAGTACACATGCCCTAGAGCAAAAGCCTAACCAGACAAAACAAAAGAAAGTAGTCTGGGTTTAGAGAGCTGAGGAACAATTGCTTAACACTTTTTAAGTACAATGTAGATACTTCGTTTCAACTTGGTTTGCTTCCGCACCCATAAATTTAATCCTGCCGGGTGTGTTTAATGTGTTAGACAAGCACAGCTAGGGCTTGACATCCAGAATAGACTTAAATTTAAATTCGTTGAAAATTTAAAATGTGGGCAAGCAGTTGATGATTTCTTGATTACCATCTTATTTTCCTATAAGGACTCTCTTGTTTGTTTTTAATTTGTGAGAAGGTGTTTGCGCTTGTGCGTCACAGGGAGAGGGACAGAGGGAGAAAGCACCCTTCAGTGGGACATGACCACCCTCAATCCCTTCTCCTCCATTTCTCTCTGTTGGGATTTGGGGCACACATGCACTGCATTCAGAATGTGTTTCCAGCTGTTGGGCCTGGGATTCGAACTGCACAGTGGCCCATGTGGAATCTGGCTCTCTTAACTGCCATATGAAGGGCCTGGCCCTTGGTATTAGATAGTATTTCTTCATTCCTGTCCTGCTTTCTTTGGTTGAATGAGATTTCTCCCTTTCTGACTCCTCCCTCCCAATCTTATAAATGGGAAAACAACTACGGTACAAAATAAATGAATAAATAAAGTCTTCCCACCAAAGCACAAGACTTGGGGCTCCAAGTAAGAGGTATTACAGTACCTTTAAACTCAGTAGTCTAGCAGGAGTTGATCAAGAAGAGGTTTGCTGTGCTGCTTAGGTTTAATATATTTATCAAGTGGTCAGAAGCCACAAGGGAGAGAAATGTGAATTAGTAAACCCGTCCCTGTCCTCAAGGATGATTGTTAGGATTCAGTTGTCAAGAGGCTGGTCAGTAATTCTTGGTACTAGAAATTTCACTCGAGAGACCAGCAGGTGGCATAATGGTGACATTGCTGGGCTCCCATGGGATCCACCGTGGTTGGAGCCCCAGACCCGGTGGCTTGAAAACACTCACTGGGAACGTATGCCTGAGAAGAGAATGGAGAAGGGATTAGGCGTGGCCTAGGGGGGATTTCTCGCTTTCTGTCTCTCTCTGTAACTCTGGTGAGTGCATGCGCCACATAGAAAAAAAATCTCTCTTAAAAAAAAGGAAAGAAATTTCACTTGAGATATCCCCAATTTACAGGAGGCATGTTGGGGATAGAAGCCAGTGATTTCTCCTTTTTTCCTTTGTTTTCAGCCTTCCACTAGTCAGAAGCGCCCCCTTGAAGGGGAAGCAGAGGATGCCGAGGCCACGAAGCGCCCTGCTGTGTGTGCTGCTGTGTCGTGAACCCTGCGGTTGGAATGTGAAAGAAATGTATCTTCTTTAACTCTACTGTCATCTTTTTTCTTTACCTCAGGTTTTTATAGTTTATATTTTAATTATGTGGGAATAATTGTCTTTCTACAATCATTGATACATGATTAAAAGTCTGATGGAACCTGAGTTTCGTGCTTATGCTTGATGGACAGCTCTTTAGTTGAATCTTCCTCCTCCCCTTTTATTTTATTTTGATTTTTTTTAAAGAATAACTTACTTAATTTATTATTATTGTTTTAAATTTTGCTATAGGACATATGCACTCACCAGAGAGAGAGAGGGAAAGTGAAAATGTTAGCTGCCAGGTCTGGAATTTGAACCACGATTGGCCACGTGGGAGTCCATCGCCTTAACCATCATGCCATCTACTGGCCCCATCCCCTTTTATTTTATTTTTAAAAAATTACTTATTGGGACCAGCAGGTGGCGTGGTGGTTAAGGTGCTGGACACTCCCACATGGCTGACCACGGTTCAAGTCCTGGATCTGGTAGCTTGCTTTCTCACTTTCTCTTTGTCTCTCTCTCTCTCTCTGGTCAAATTAAAATAAATGGATGAATAAATTAAATTAAATTAAATAAATCTTTAAAAAAAATTACTTATTTAAGGGCCAGCAAGTGGTGTGGTGGTTAAGGACATTGGATTCCCACATGGCCAACTGTGGTTCGAGTCCTGGACCTGGCGGCTTGCTTTCTCTTTCTCTCTCTCTCACTGTCCCTCTCTGGTCAAATTAAAATAAATAAATAAGTTAAATAAAATAATTTAAAATTTTATTTAAAATTTATTTAATCTTTTATTATTATTATTATTTTAAATTTTCTATAGGGAACATGTGTCTACTAGAGAAGGACAGAGAGAAAGTGAGAGAGAGAAAGTGAGAAAACAAGTGACCAGGTCTGGGACTTAAACTGCAGTTGGCCATGTGGGGATCCAGCACCTTAACCTCCACCCCATCCGCTGGCTCCCCCTTTTATTTTAAATGTTAGAAGCAGTTTGCCTTTCATCTGGAGACACTTCTTGGCCATTGTTATCTGGCAGGTTTCTCAGGATTCACCTTGGTTTTAGCCTTTGAGAGCTGAATACAAATTCCTATTTCTTTTTAATCCTTTTTAAAAAAAGTTTATTTCTTTCTTTTATGACAGAGACAGAGGGGCATCCCACCATGATCCACCCCCAGTTTCCACCAGCTGAAATCATGGGCCCACACACCCTGAGCGCTCAGGAAGGTCCTAAGACTCAAACTTAGGACTTTTCCCTTGTGGGTTCAGCTGCACTACCTGCGTGCCATGACCAGGCACCCTGAATATAATTCTGAAGGCTGAGAGTTGCAGGGAGGAGGCCAGTCAGTGACACATTGGTAGAATGCAATGTTTTTCAAGACAACCCACATGGAACCTTCTAGGTTCCCAATCAAAGACCTCCCTGCATGCACTGGTCATGTGCATGCCCATGCTCGGGGGCTGGCTGACGCTGGCATGGTGAATGGTATCCAGACCCTGTTGAGGTGCTGCCTCTGTTTTTCTATTTGTCTTTTGCTCATGGAATAAATAAGTAAACTTTAAAAAGTTGTAGGGGAAGGGGCCCAGAAAGGTTACACTGGAGTTTGCAGTGGCTGGCTGGGTGCTGAAGTTCTCATGAGATGGCAGGTACCTTAGGCCAGTTTTAAATTTGTATCTACTCTCAGAAAGATACAGGCCCACAGTCTGAAAGCTTACGGCTAGACAAGTTGTGAAATGCAGGTGTTCCAGTTCTAGGAAAGCAATCGGACACATCTAGTATGTGTTATCTGTAGTACTCCGGTGGAGTCCCGTATCCAAACCCATTACTATTCTTTTTTTTTAATAAATATTTTTATTTATTTTTTAAATGATTATTTATTTTATCTATTCATTTATTTTTAATTTGACCGGAGAGAGACACACAGAGAGAGAGAGAGAGAGAGAGGGAAAGGGAGAAAGGAAGACA